TTATCAAGATCTTGCATTGGTGATTAATATTTTTTTATCATATACTTGTAGAAAATAATGGTATAATTGTACCCCTTGATAAAACTAATTTATACATATATTTATTCTAAAAATTTGAAGAATTGTCTTAGCCGTGTGATATGACTTTTGTTATCAACTGCTTCCGGTATATATCAACTGTTTCCGGTTTATATCAACTGCTTCCGGTTATTATCGCATGCCTTTCTTTAACGTAATCGCAAAGCATTTCGACGTCATTCTGCAAATTCCGGAAAATAAACCTCAGTGCTACATTTAAGTGAAAAAGATAGCCAAGTAGAATAACAGAAGGAATATTAGGAAACAGGAAAATATATTATTAAAAAACGCAAAATAAATAAAACAATAAATGTTTTAAAAAAGTTTTCATGTCTGTATGGCTTCTGCTGAAGTATATGATAAAAAGAACATAACATGTCATTTTTCATATCAGACCTCTTATCAGCCCATGGTCAAAATCATCCCTTGAGCCTGTCGGCTCTCGGGCTGATATCATGACCTGAGTAGGGCTGAAAAGGGGTCTGATTTGAAAAATGCCATGTCATAATCTATTTGTCCTTTACAGCTTCTGTCTATAAATTACAAATGTAATTTAAGGGCAAAATCTTATATAATTAAGGAATCACTTGATGGTTTAATTCATATTTGCATTTTTAGGAAATCTAACATTACTGATATTGTTTTGCTGCAAACAGTTTCTGTCTAACTATGACACTGTTCAAATTCATTAAATCAATAATGATAAAATTTAAATTAAATATTGTTTTAGGACTATGGCATGTTTTCACAATAATAGGCGAACTGTCTACATTGTTTAAGGGCAGTTCTCCTTAAGGAGTCAACTGACGGCTTGGCTCGTATGGCATTCTTGTAAATCTTGTATTGCTAATCATTGTTGCGGTCTACAGTTTCTGTTTATCTATCACCTGTCTTCTGAGACGTTGGAAAATCAAATATATACTTTAAGTACAACAGTGTTTTTTTTTAAACACAAAATTAAAACAGCGATGTTGTAGAAAATTGTCGATATTACATGGAGTAAAAAAAATCGTCTGTGCAGTATTGCAATGAATAGTGAAAAGGTTAAAGAAATATGTATAATGTTTGTTCTATTGGTTTATCCGTGCATTAAGTCTTTTTTTTCTCACTAAGATAATATTAAAAAAAAAATTATGGGGTGGGGTGGAGGCTGTAAGTAGTCTCTGGTTTGCCCATTTGTTATTCAAAAAATTATCAATTAGGTAAATAAACAAAAACAAAAGGATCAATGCATATAATATTGTAATGAGTACCAAATACAGATTTAGGTTTAATGTAGTTTAACAAAGGTAAATCAGTGTCGTAAATCGGTGCTGATGACAATGCTAAGATTGGCATGATGAGGTTAATCATTACTGACTGATTCATTTTTTTCCCGTTACTTCAATGAAGATTGATCTTCTCCTTTTAGAATGTTTAATTCAATAGTCTCTCATAGAATACTCAAAACGTTGGTAGTCAAGAAGATATCTTAGCATCTGAAAGTTGCAAATATTTTGTCCTGAATATGCATGAAATAATTGCCACTGGACATAATCAATCAATCATTGCAAATATATTCAAAACTAAAGCATGTCCGATGGTCCAGTTCCTCACATTCTGCCTGAAACAAATGCATGGGTGCTAATAAAATAGCAACCATACATCTATATTTTTAATAAACATCTCTAGGTTGCATTGCTGTAAATATAGACAATGCAATTTCTCATAGGAACTCCCTTTGTGGCTAAAACTGTGCCACTTTTACTATGAAGTTTCGTAAAAAATTATATCCTAGAATGGAAAGTTGATATGCACTACTATTTTATTCAAAGGTAAAAACATAGGGCTGTGCGGCATATTTTTATATGCCCCGACCTTGTTCGAGTTTAAACTTATACTAAAATTCTGTACTACCCCTACCTTTAATTTGGGCCTACTTAAGAATTCAATTTTTACCGCAACCATGTTTTTATACTGGTAACATTCCCAAGTCATGTCTCTATGAGATGAAACATAGAGATCATATCTGGGAACCAGTAAGTAAACAAAACAAAATATCTATCAATATTATATATCTCCCCAAAAGAGGTGTGGTTTGAGAAACAGCTGTATTTACAAAGTGAAACCTTTATATAAGCATGTTTAATTACAACAAGCATGCAAACACTGAAATGTCTGGTCTGCTCATGGATCATGATCAAGTTCATGCTGAAGAGAAACTATGAAAATGTAATAATTGTGTGTATTTCTGTCAGAAAGAATGAATTGATCTTTGATATGCAGTTGAGAAGTGGCATTTGAAAATGCCAGTCTATGAAAGAGGATGGATATAATCACCGATATGCAAGTGACTTACAGTGACATGCCAAAATTAATGCAACATACTTTAATCTCATATTGAAAACAAAATTATTGTTTATAATATTTTCTGTGTGTTTCATACCTGCCTAGGATGTGTAAGAAATTGGAAGAGCCCACAAAATTTATTATGTTGGTATTTCCAGAAATGCTGCATACAAATAATGCTATCAATATTAAAAATGCTAGTTTTATTTTTATGACACCTATCCTGCCAAAAATTGCAATAGTAAAACAAGAGGCTCTCAAGAGCCTGAATCGCTCACCTGTTATTTTTTTGCTTAAATCTTTCATCAATGATTATTTTTGCTTTTTACCCATATGTTCCATTTTAGCCATAGTGTCTATGTTTCTTGACGTACAAGGAAATGAAATACAAAATTTATACTAGATTCATTTGAGAAGATTTTTAAAGTTAAAAAACATAAAACAACTTGTGTAAAATTGTCCTTAAAGGGCAATAACTCCTTAAGGGGTCAATTGACAATTTTGGTCATATAAACTTTTTTGTAGATCTTACTTTGCTGAACATTTTTGCTGTGTACAGTTTATCTTTATCTTCAATAATATTCAAGATAATAACCAAAAACTGCAAAATTTCCTTAAAACAGGCAATTTAGTGGCAGCAAACCAACAACGGGTTGTTCGGTATGTCTGAAAATTTCAGGGCTGATAGATCAGACCTTTTGAACATTTTAACTCCATGTCAGATTTGCTCTAAATACTTTAGTTTCTGAGATGTAAGCCAAAAACTGCATTTCACCCCTATGTTCTATTTTTAGCCATGGCGGCCATGTTTGTTGATGGATCAAAATTTCGGATACAATTCATAAACTAGATTCCTAAAGGAACATTCATTCAAAGTTAAGAAGTATTAGGCACAATAGTTTCAGAAGAGAAGATTTTTAAAAGTTAGCAAACTTGATGAACACATTTCGTAAAATTGTCTTTAAAGGGCAATAACTCCTTAAGGGGTCAATTGACAAATTTGGTCATTTAACTTTTCTGTTGATCTTACTTTGCTGAACATTATTGCTGTTTACAGTTTATATCTATCTATAATAATATTCAAGAAAATAACAAAAAACTGCAAAATTTCCTCAAAACTACCAATTTAGTGGCAGCAACCCAACAATGGGTAGTTCGATTTGTCTGAAAATTTCAGGGCTGATAGATCTTGACCAATTGAACAATTTTACCCCACGTCAGATTTGCTCTAAAAGCTTTCGTTTTGGAGATATAAGCCAAAAACTGCATTTGACCCCTATGTTCTATTTTTAGCCATGGCGGCCATGTTTGTCGATGGATTAAAACTTCGGATACAATTTATAAACTAGATATCCTAAGGAACATTTAGATGAAGTTTGAACGTATTTGGCTGAGTAGTTTCAGAGGAGAAGATTTTTAAATGTTAGCAAACTTGATGAACAAATTGTGTAAAATTGTCTTTAAAGGGCAATAACTCCTTAAGGGGTCAATTGACAATTTTAGTCACAATATCTATCTATAATAATATTAAAGATAATAACAAAAAACTGCAAAATTTCCTTAAAACTACCAATTTAGTGGCAGCAACCCAACAATGAGTTGTTCGATTCGTCTGAAAATTTCAGGGCTGATAGATCTTGACCAATTGAACAATTTTACCCCATGTCAGATTTGCTCTAAAAGCTTTAGTTTTTGAGATATAAGCAAAAAACTGCATTTGACCCCTATGTTCTACTTTTAGCCATGGCGGCCATGTTTGTTGATAGACTAGATACCCTAAGGAACATTTAGTTAAAGTTTGAAGGTATTTGGCCCAGTAGTTTCAGAGGAGAAGATTTTTGAAATAGTTTACGACGACAGAGACGACAGACGACGGACGATGACGGACGCCAAGTGATGGCATAAGCTCACATTGGGCCCTTTGGGCCCCCGTGAGCTAAAAATCACAAAAAAATAACAATATTGCAAAATTTCAATCACTTAAACATGTCTGTGAGGGATGCATGGATTTGATGCTTAGGCAGCATTTGTGGAGAGGACTACCAATGATTCAATGTCTTAATATCTTCTTGACCTTTGATGAATTTGGCTATTCTTTTTAGATCCTTTTTGGTCATAAAAATCCTCATGTTTCTAGATATGACTTAAATATATTTTGGTAAATGCAGAAAAGCACTTGGAGGCATAATATTATAACACAGTCAATGTAGGACTTTCTTTGAGATATTATTGTGTCTGGGAGACACAAATGATGCCCCTGCAGATGCAAAGTGTTATTCTAAAATACACAAAAGTTGAGCATCGGAGCATAGATGTCTATGGTTCACTGTAGGCGTTATCCGGGATCGCTATGCACCTCTTATGCAAGTATATACTCCAAAATTGACAAAGTTCAACTACCTCCCAAAAGACCAAATATCAATAAAAATAAAAATCCGGGCCACATGTACACCTTCAATATATGTACAAACAGCCAGCAAAGTGAAAACTTTTAGTTGCAGAGGCATAAAAATATTGGACAGAGCAACATATTACACCAACCACCAATACTTGAGTTTTCCAATGTGCAATTCAATGAAATCAACAAGACAAAATGGAGTTTTGTATTATTTTATTATAACAGACTTCTTGTCTGTCTGTATCACAGTAATGCCAAGCTGACAGAACTAAAACAAAATATTATAAAAATGATTAACTACAAATGACAATGATACTACATCTACTCTATAAAAGATTCTTCTCCTTAGTTCATTAAAAATAAAGCTCTTGTGAAGTTTGTAATAAACAAATCTTATTTGTCAACTAAATTGGAAAATTTTCATGAGGATTCTCTTTCCCTAACTTTGCAATTTAGAACAAATCAGACAAAATATTCCTCGTCATAAATAAGATCAAAATCAGGGTAAATAAATGAATGAAAATTGTTACAGGTGAAAAAAAAAAAATATCTTTTTATTTTCTTCACATTATATTTTTTACAATTTGAATTTTATCAATAGTATTCCTAAATATCAAACAATAGAAAAACAGATTAAAAGGACAGTGTACTGCAACACATCAGAAAGCTGTATATAAAAAATACAGGATTTTGCAATGAAATCAAATTGGAAAAAAATTTACATAAAATGAATTTCTGATTTTATTACACTAAATAGTGTCACATCCTTCATGGATGAATACTAACTAAATGCTACATGGCACTTGCATGGTCGTACATTTTGGCAGCATAAAAAAATACTGATACAAAAATATACAATATTCATAAAACATAACAACATAGAACCATAACTTTTCCTCACAAATTTGAACCATGATAACTTATGAAAACCTGATACGATAGACATGTATTTTCTAATTAAATTCGCCTCTATACCAACTGAATGAAGTTTTCATGAATAAAATAATGATTAGCTAGGTTTATGACTATGCTAAATTGTACATCTAAACAACTTTTACCAGATTACTTTCTTTGATCATTTTCAAGTAGCCACATGGGAATATTTAACTTTGACCTTTGATTTTCATTTTTAAAAAATTACCGTAAGAACATATTCAAGTTTATTCACCATCCTATAAATGAATGATGTGTTTATGGTATAATTTTTCTGTCGCCCTTATAAGTGCCTTACTGTTTACAAAATATTGAAGAAGAATGAATTGGCTTTGTAGTTATCACAAAAGTAACTGACAACAATTTTCACTTCATTTGAATTTCATAAAAAAAAAAATGTTATAGGAATATGTTTCACGTTTTTGTGTTCCCAAACACTGAAAAATTTTATATTACAAAATGAACCACTTTTGTTCTCCATCAATTTTTTTTTAACCAGAACAAATTTAAATCTGCTCAGGGTGAAGTGATATAATCTGTTTATTCATTTTGTATCTTCAGCTTCCTTATTGGTTTAATATGAGAGAAGATTAAATTTATAGTTTTGTTTCTAATTTTGTATACTACAGTGTACCTTCATAGATAAATGCAAGATCAAATTTCTCTATTCCAAAAGAGAGGCAAAAGATACCAAAGGGACATTCAAACTCATAAGTTGAAAATAAACGATCCCTATTCCAAATATGTCTTAGTTTCCAGGAGATAAAAAATGTCAACATCAATACAACCATATGGAGGTTGGAAGGTCAGAGAAAAACATCTATAAAAGTTGTATTATATAATGATGCGTATAAACATGAGTTATTTGAGATGAAAGTTTTAAATAAAAAAGAGAGGTAACCATTTATACCTTCATTAGAAAATCTGAATTTTTTACCATCATGACACATGATATTTTAAAATATTTTTTTCTTTAAAAAAAGAAATACTCTGATTATAGAAAATCTTTCAACTACAACAATATATCATCGGAAATCTTTCAACTACAACAATATACTATCAATCTTAACTTTAAGTCTTGACATAATTAAATTTTAAAATCCATTATTTCAGTTTTAGAACATCTACTTCAGCAAAGATTCTGAGGCCATCTGTAACATTTTAAGATGTCTACATGTCTTATCATTGGGATGCTGACTGATATAGTTCTTTAGTTTCTGTATAAGACTGTACAACACTCCTCTCATGTGCTCCTGTGTTATCTTATTCGTCAAATCTAAATTCATCACAGATTCTTCTAAATATCTGTAAAAAAACAAAACATTTACTGAATTACAACCAAATCATTATTATGTTAAACAGCAAACTGTCAATCTTATTTCAATTTTACAAAGAGATGTCAACTTTTCAAATTAAATTTGCTGAGGTGGAACACAAATAATTTAAGTCACCTGACCAAGTTTAATCCCCCATTTTCTACATAAGGAAATGCCTGTACCAAGTCAGGAATATGATAGCTGTTTTCCATTCCTTTGATGTGTTAATTTGAGCTTTTGATTTTGCCATTTGATAAGGGACTTTAGGTTTTGAATTTTCCTTGGAGTTTGGTATTTTTGTTATGTTACTTTTTTCTGAATAAGGCTGTTTCCTTATATTGATTTAAATATTGAACAATTGCTAGAATAGACTTAGGTAAAATTGAACTACCTGAAAAGATCATTATTCAACATTTTTACTTAAAAAAAGTATCTGTTTGTTTTTTTATGCAGTACAAATACAACATTACAACTATAAATATTAATCAGCACTAGAATGGTTATTGTTGCTTTTGATTAAAACACCAATATTACATTTGAATAAATGTAATAATTGCTTACATTCACTTCATTTGAACTTTAGTTGTCTTATTGGCAATCATACCACATCTACTTATTTCTATATTGATACTTACTTATGTTTAAGTTCTGTATTTTGACCGATATCAGCAGACAACTGCTGGATAAGGGATAGCAATACTGGCTGTTCTAGTGGGCAGGGTGTTTGGTTGAATATCTGGGCAGGGTTCACAGTCTCACATACAAATACTACAAGTTCTAGATTAGCTGCTGACAAAGCCTACAACAAGAAGAGTACATAGTTTTATCTTTTAGATGTAATAATGGTTATTTTTCTTATTACTTTAAAGCATTCTAAAATCAAAATTTCATAACACTTTTTAGTATTGGTGAATATTCATTCCAAATTTTACTCCAAGGGGTTTAAAAGTTAGAGAGCAGTAACTATTTTAAACAAATGTACCAACCGACAAGTTGAATGCTACAGGCAATCTGCCTATTAATCACCACGTCACTGATAAAAGATAAAGGAAGCTAAAAAGATCCCTATACCCTCCTCCCTTTAATTAGTTAAGTTTCACTTTAAATGGAAACCAAGCATTTCAACTCTTTCACCTTAGAGAGTGGTAAAATAATGCAATTAATCTGATTAAAACATTCAGAAATTGCTGTAGTCCAACTTTGCTGATAACTCCAATATTGTTACAGACTCTAATTAACAGAAGAATATCACCTTGCTGGCATTTTGTATTATAAATGACAAAATGAAAAATGATTCACAAAACAAAATTTAATTAGTTAATTGAGAAAAACAACAAGAAAAAATGTCTTTTCTGGATTGAAATTCAATAAAAAATGGGTTATAAATATAAAATCTGAGATGGCAGTAATATTAAGTAACAGGGAAACAACAATGGATCATTTTCACTTTACATGCAAATATTAAACTGAATTTTTATTCATCTTGCATATTGTTGATAAGAATAATACCATACAAAGAGTAACAAATTTTTCCCTTTCTCTAATACCTGTTGAAATGCAGCATTTAATTGCCCTTGTCTCAGTAACTGCATGATATGTGTTCTAGCTTGTTGTGGATCAGGACTGGTAGGTACAGGAGTTACAGCCCCTGATCTCATGGCATCAAGTACATTACTACTAATAGTAGCACCTTGTTCCTGTACAGCAGTATTAACTTCATCTTTTACAGCTTGCCTTACAGCTCTGATCAAAGTTTCTTGCAGACTGAAGAAAAATATCTAATATTTCAGTATGTTGTATAAATAAAATAAGCATTATAAAATAAGAGGATCTATGCAAAATCATCCCTTAATTACTCCACTGAAGATAACTACTGACAAACAAATTCAGATGGCTATGTTTTCAATCAATCCTCTTTCAAAACATTTCACCTCGTAATTTCACAAAATTTTTTTTTTAATTTGCTAATCAAAATCAAATTAGGATCAATTGAAGAGGACTTCCATTCATCATTTCTACAAAATTTGGTCCAATTTGCCTTATGGAGATAATAAGAATGAAAATGATGAAGACAGACACACAATGTTCATGCTTGGCCAAAGGAAAAAACAGCCCAAGCTTGTAAAATTCTACTACAGGAAAATAGAATCTATGCAAAATAATCGATAAAATTGGCTTCAGACTCTTTGCTGAAGGAGTTTATTGTGTAGACTGTGGACACAAAGTGATCACAAAAGCTAACATGGCATTATGTCAAATTGTAAATGTTTTTTACATAAATCAGGCAATTAATTTTCTCTTTTGGATTGTTTAACATTTGTAATTTCTGGGCCTTTTATAGCTACATATGGGGTATGCATTTTGCTTATTGTTGAAGGCCTTATGGTGACCTATGGTTGCTAACTTCTTCATCATTTGGTCTTTATTGGAGAGTTGTCTCATTTGCAATTCTACCACTTCTTCTTATTTTTATAGAAGATAGTTTTGTAATTATTTTCATATCCAAGAATTACCTAAAGCTAATCTAATTGCAGATTCATGCATATAACATACCTAAGGAAGGAATTCTGCATTTCATTTTGGACCTGAGACTGGATACTAGCTGTGACTTGTGCTTTTATTGTTTCAGCAGAACTCTGGAAAGAATCAGCTAATTTCCTCATCTGTGCTACAATAGGATCTCTGGCCTCAGTATGCTTCTGTTTAATTATGTCCAAATGAGTTTCCAGTGTTCTAATATCTACAATACAAATGTTTTAAAACCACCTTTAAATGATGAATAAACTTACAGCTGTTCCATTAACCTACATGATACATGATACTCCGGGAAGGCACTTTAAAAATGGTGTAACAATCTAAAGAGGCAATTTTCACTTTAACTTTCACTGTACAATAACACCCACCCATATATGAGATTATGAAGTGCCATCCTTGGTCCCATGTATGTTTTCTATGGAACCGGTCTTACTTCCACAACAATAAGTTGAAATAAAAAAAGATACAGGTAACAGTTTAGGAGAAATCAACCAAACATTTATTCCAAATTTGTCAAAATTTATGAAAATCATATGAGCTAAATTAATTTTAGTCAAGGTGTTTGGTACCACCTTAAAATATTGGACAGTACAACAGACAATACCAAACTAATCCAAAAAATGCTGCTGACCAAATATGAAGTGATTCTGCTAGTCCCTGAAAAAATTGTGACAAAAATATTTGTTGCACCAGCGGACGGATGGACTAGGTGAAATCAATATAGCCCTAGTCCTGGAGTGCGTTTATATTATAAATTGTCCATCATGATTCATATGAAATTCACAAATAATTGTTGAAAAAAATTGTCCAATTCTTGTTTCATTACCAGTTCAACCCTTAAAAAAAACATAAACCTCATAAAACTAAAGAAATCAAAGATAGAATTTTTTACTATATACTTAACATTAATACACATTCTACATCCAACCACCCATAGAAATTCATGTACAAGTGCCTACAACAGAAATATAATACTTTAACAGCCCTTACATTCTTTTGTCCCTTTGGTGAATGCTTCGTTGACTTGTTGGAACATATTTTGCGTGGCCCTATCAAAGTTGGGTATAACAATATTCTGGAATGCTTCTCGATATGCTGCCTGTATTGGAGTCTGTAAAGCATTGCCTGCAGCTAATCCTATGGCTTCTGTTGTTTGCTGAAAATAATAGTCTAAAAATAAACAGGACCGAGACTCTTCATAGATTTTGCTTGTAAAATATTTGAATCTGGGTTGTTTTCTTTATATTTGTACTAATCCTTATATATGCTTGTATGACAATTTTAATTAAATTTTAATTTAAAAGATAATAAAGAGCTGTGCCATGAGCGCATGATACCCCTGTCACTTTTTCAAAGAATAAAGTACCATAACTCCTCAATGTCATATCATAAATTTATAAAAAACTAAAGGGAGGTTATTCTAATAGATTAAGCCAGTCACCAAGGTTTAGTGAAAACCGCTCAAAGCACTTTTGAGCTATTGTCCGAAAAACTGGAAAATCAACCCTTTTTTTATGAATAAAACCCCATAATCTAAAATTAAAAAAAATTGAAAGGGAGCTCGAGTCAATAGATATAAATAGTTCACCAAAGTTTCATGAAAACTGCTCAAAGTGATTTCGAGTTATGTTCGACATGTTGACGACGGACGGACAGACAGACGGACAGACAATGGTATACCATAATACATCCCATAAACAGGCGTATAATAAAATGCTCCACTGGGCGCAGCTTGATACGACCGCAGAGGTCGAACCCTGAACAGTTGGGGCAAGTATGGACACAACATTCAAGCTTGATACAGCACTGAATTTGGATTGTGATTAAATATTTGACACAGCATAGGTTTCTGACACAGAATGAATGTGGTCTAAGAACTTAAACAAATTTAATTTACCTATTCAAACCATATCATTATTATTTGCTTTTATATATAAATCAGAAATAACCAATTTAAAATGGAAAATTTTAAAGAAAAAAAATAGGAAAAAAAGGAAAAAAAAATCCCCCTCCCAATTTTTTGAACCCCCTTATGATTTATCACCCCCAAACTCAATCCCAGCCTTCCCTTTGTGGTTTGGTACCTTGCAGTACAATTTCAGAGAGATCCATACACTTGAACACAAGTTATTGTCTGGAAACTAGAAAAATGCTTGTTTTTTGGCCCCTTTTTGGCCCAAAATTCCTAAACGTTTAGGGCAATTATCCCCAAACTCAAACCCAGCGTTCCTTTGTGATATGGAACCTTGTAGTACAATTTCATAAAGATCCATACACTTACACACAAGTTATTGTCCTAAAACTAGAAAAATGCTTGTTTTTTTGCCCCTTTTTGGCCCCTAATTCCTAAAATTTTGATGCAATTACCCCCAAATTCAATCCTAGCCTTCCCTTTGTGGTATGCTACCTTGCAGTACAATTTCAGAGAGATCCTTGAACTTGAACACAAGTTATTGTCTGGAAACTAGAAAAATGCTTATTTTTGGCCCCTTTTTGGTCCCTAATTCCTTAACTGTTGGTACCATAACCCCCAAAATCAATCCCAACCTTCCTTTTGTGCTATTGAACCTTATGGTAAAATTCCATAGAGATCCATTCACTTAAACTTAAGTTAGAGTGCGAAAACCAATGTGTCTTCGGACGACGACAACGACGCCAACATCATACCAATATACGACCACAAAATTTTTTTGCAGTCGTATAAAAAGGACAATATCTACTAGCATGAAAATGTTGAGGTTTTTTTATCATGATGTGCACATATTTAACAATCTTTCAACCTACCCTAGATCTAATCATTTTACCAATATTATCTTTCAGTAATGAATCTGTGGCTGTTAATTTCTGTGCCAATTCTTGATGCAGCTGATCTTTAACAGGTTCTAAAGACCTTGTTACAGCTGAAAGGATGAAAACATCATTACAACATTCTATCATTTGCTTTCAATCATAATAATAACACAACACTTGTTCCTACACAAAATTACATTTCAGACTTCATTTGTTATACATGAACCTTATACTTTCAAATGGTTTTTTGAAAATAATTTGTTATCTCCCTTTACAATAAGTTTTTGTGTTACAGTTAATCGTCCAGCTAAATTTTTTTTTATGCTTTTTTAGAATTTTTCAGGATATTATTTCCTTTTTATGTAGTCTTTGCCAGTAAGCAAGCAAATAAAGCTATCCTGTATGATACAAGCTTTAATCAGATGTACAAAAATATGAAAAAATAAAATATTAAAAATTTCAGATTTTTCTGAGATTTTTGCCAATTCCCTGATCATCCTGAATGACCTTGATTTCCTAGAAAAGTTATCCATCTGGAATGTATGAAATGAAATACCTTGCTATTTCTAATTTTTCCTGAAGTGTAGAAACCATGTTAATCTACCATTTAAAAGAAGTTTTTCGTTTTCAACTGCCTGAAAGATTTATGTTCTGCGTTTTTGCAGGTTATTTTATTTTGTTAAATGTTGTTTAAAGAGGCTTTTGTGTAATTTTGTAAACCCAGGTGAAGAAAACTAATAACAGTATCATTTATCTAGGTCTGTTAACAACTGGGTCTGGGGAAAGAAGACGGATAGATAAATTTGTTCTTTTTTTGTCCACTGAAACTAAGTCACAGTTACTTTAAAATTGAGAATGGAAATAGGGAATGTGTCAAAGAGACAACAGCCCGACCATAGAACAGACAACAGCAGAAGGTCACCAACAGGTTTCAATGCAGCGAGAAATTCCCGCACCTGGAGGCGTCCTTCAGCTGGCCCCTAAACAAATATATATACTAGTTCAGTGATAATGAACGCCATACTAAACTCCAAATTGTACACAAGAAACTAAAATTAGTTCTGTATTTAATCTGTCTATCCATAACCCATGCAAAATTTCTAGAAAAAAGATTTGTGAATTTTTTTTTCAACTTATTTGTTTTCTACCAATATATCTTTCCTCTGGATTCTTTTTTTTTTTCCTATGTACCAATTTTCATGGATTGAGGAAAACTTGTATTTCCGTGGATATTGGATTTCATAGTTTTGCAAAGGCCTGAACACAAGCCTTTAAATATTTGCACTTCATTGAACACTGAAATTTGTGGTTTACCTAGCCTATACCCACAAAATCCAGGAAAATTTGTATCCCACGAATAATAATGAATTCACAGTAATCTAACCACCTCCCCACCCTCCAATAAGTATTTTCCTGGTTCCCCACTTTTCTGTATCTATGTATTCCAACCTGGTAAGACAGTATTCCTCATTTCATCCCTGACTTGATCCTCCACATTACTGGCTACAGATTTCTGTAATGTTTGTACCAGTGTGTGTTGCAATCGTTCGTGTCGCTGCTTTTCTCTCGTCTCAGACTGCTGCATGATCTGATTTATTCTCTGATCTTGTTTTTGTTAATGAAATTAATGCGTGTCAAATTATTAACATGATTTTTTGTGAAATAAGTAATTTTGATTCAATATTTCAAAAGAGAGGTGTACATGCAGATTAAACAAATGATAAGACAGCAACCAAACTACAAAATAAAACCAATCAGGACAATAATTTTTTTTTTCAGATTATCCAGGGCTCACACTACTTCAGAATAATAGGGAGAAGTGACTTCTCTTTTTGAAACTGATAGGGAGAAGTGGTGAGATTTGAAAGAGAAGTGCTCCTTCGCGCCCTGCGCTACAATGTTTTGATTTTACTATAGTATAAAGGGTCATATGTAAGTAATGTTCTTTTTATATTGTTCAATTCATATCTGAGTATACAATTAAATTAACAGTTCAAATTCAAAGTTGTTTAAGTTTAGGTTCTTGTGAGAAACTACCAACTAAATATCTAGCACTAAAAAGAATTTTTTTTTATGTCAAAAAGGTAAAGAAATTATAATATATGAATTACAATTCAATTAGAAACTATCTTGTTTATCATGTTTATGAAATTCAGCGTTTCTCATCAAAAGATTTACAAAGTTAAGCTGGGCCATAATATATTGATATTAGTAGTTAAGCAACTTTAATCAATATTTTAAAACAATCCATATAAATGATATGGAATTATATACATTAATCTATTAGATCTAACCAAAAGTCTGTTAATGCATGTGGAATGCATAATTTTTCCTTTTGGGATCAATATTCTTCTGTCAGCTGTTCCATTCATGCGTCCGTATTTATTATTGTAAAAATACGGATTTCCGTCATAGCCGGTCCAGTTCCGATCCGTAGTTAGTAAACGCTTAATGGCGGACGAAGAAAATTTACAAAAATAAACGATGTTTGACAAGCTATTTGGAAAGGAATATGACGTTTTTAATGCAATAAATGGATTAAACATTTACTGGAGGCAACTTTTATCACTTTTAAATGAAGTAACAAACTTATTTTGCTGCCGAAAGTTAGATTGATGTATGCTCTCTGAGTAACAAGTACCGGAAGTGCATGCAGTGATAAAAAGTTGTCTTTTTTATTAAATAACCTACTACACACTGTAAATTCATTGCTTAAACCTCTTTTCTTAAGAAAATGTATCGTTTATGTCTGAATTTCTTTAATAATCAATAAAAAATTGATGTTTTATCAACTTAAAAATTGAAAATGTCCGATGACGAAAGCGACTAAAAGCGAGTATCGTAAACAACAGGGCGACTTGTTTTCGCTCTTGATGGTCAGGCAAAGCGAAGTGACGGACGGGAAAGCGACTTCTTCGCCCTAGTCGCCTGGTAGCGTGAGCCCTGATTATCAGATGTAGATCTTTTTAATGTGACAAGATTACAATTTTATTACCAAGACATTTATTTTGACTGTATTGAATTGAAAGTTAATAAAAAACTATTATTGATTGTATGACTGTCATTAAGTAACTTATATGACTGTTTTGTCAATCACTGCCATCTTAAACCCCATGCAATAATAATATCCCATACTTTCTTCATGAAAAACTTCTTAATATAAAGCTGCCTAAGACTACTAACTGATTAATTACTGGTTTATGAAAAATACACACTCATTTTTAGATTAAGGTTGAGCCTCTAAAGTAGAAATCTGAATAACTAGGAATTGCTTACTGCAAAGGTGTATAGCGTTTGTTCAATTTCTAGTGCATTTCATTTAATAACACTTCCTACATAAAAAAAACCAACTACCATCAGTATTGTAAATAGAAAAGGATACTCTCTTTTTGAGCATGCTGAGTAAACATTCTCTCCACACGAGATGTAACAATGCCCTCTAATTTGCCTAAATGTTCCTCAATGTTTGGCTGAGGTTGTTGTGACATGTGTCGGAGTTGTTCTATCTCTATCTGTTGTCTCTGTAATTCATTCTGTTTCTCCTGTTGGTCAGCTAATTGCTCCTGCAGTCTTTCTATCACACCATTTTGAGATTCCAAGGCATTAAGGATGTTCTGTATGTTATCTTGAAGCTGTAAAATATTGAATATAAAAATAAGGACATGGGGTATGACTGCCAATGAGACAACTATCCACTGAAATCAAATTGACGTGGATGTATAAGGGCTATTCCATTAAAATGTATGTGGGAGGGTAGGAAGGGAAGTTTAATTATTGAATGTGGGTCATGGGTCTTTTTCAGTATGCATCTATTACCATTATGCAAAATTATCTAAAAAAATGGTTCTTGGTTGTAGGAATACTTTGAAAGTCCCTTCCTACCCTCCCACATACATTTTAATGGAATAGCCCTAAAGCAATCTGACTTCTGACTACTATTGCCTAATTAAAATTCTAAATGTTCGGATATCTTCAAAGTTTCTTGCTATATGAACAATAGATGTGGTAGATACGTAAAGGAGACATCAACCCAACAAAAAAAAACTTATAAGACATTTTGTCTATTATGTTATGTTTTACTGATGTGTTATCCTAGGAAAATTGTTATTTTTCAGCAAAGAGATCACTTTACCAAACTCCTGATCTCCTATACTATCTTGCCCTTTAACATTTCAAATGTCTCAAAATTGCATTACAAAATTTCAGCCAAAATCACAGACAAATAAAAATATTTCAGCCAAAATCACAAAAAATGGGGAATGTGTCCATGGGACACAGATGATGCCCCTGCTTGCATATACAGTTACAAATGAACATAAATCAAAAATAGTAAAAGTGACGCTACCCAAATTCAAACTTGATCTGCATTTTGTGGTAATAAGCATTGTGTATAAGTTTCATAACATTTGGTTGAGGCAAACTTAAAATAGAGAACGGAAATGAAAAATTCAGCAATTTTTCCATTTGTAAAGGAGCATAACTCTATAACGATTAAAGTCACGCCACCAAAATTCAAACTTGATCTGTGTTTTGTGGTAATAATCATTGTGTATAAGATTTATAACATTTGGTTGAGGTAAACTAAAGAAAAAGAACGGAAACAAAAAATTCAGCAATTTTTCCATTTGTAAAGGGGCATAACTCTAGAACGGTAAAAGTGACGCCACCAAAATTCAAACTTGATCTGAGTTTTGTGGTAATAAGCATTGTGTATAAGTTTAATAACATTTGGTTGAGGCAAACATAAGTTAGAGAACGGAAATGAAAAATTCAGCAATTTTTCCATTTGTAAAAGGGGATAACTCTAGAACAGTAAAAGTGACACCACCAAAATTCAAGCTACAGCAAGGGCATAAAAATAAATTTCAGCCAAAATCATAAAGACAAAAAAATATATTTCAGCCAAAATCATACAAACAAAATATTTCAGCCAAAATCACAAAGACAAAAAATTAATATAGCTACAATCTGAAAGACAAAACGAAAAGAGAAGATATTTGATATTGAACACTGTTCATCAACAGATATTTAAAATATTCTCTCCATAATTCATCTTTGACTTTACCTGTGATAAACCCTGTACTTCTTGGTATTTCATTCTACTAATTTAACCTTTAATTACAATGCCTTTCTTTTTTTTTCCTGACAATCTCTTTTACACACCTTAATCGATGACCTTCTCTTTTCTCTGACTATTTTTATCTTACCTGGGACAAAGCCTTTCTATCTACTGTTTCTTTGAAAATCTCTCTTACACACCTTAGACAATGAACGTTTCTTTTCTCTGACTATTTTTATCTTACCTGGGACAAAGCCTTTCTATCTACTGTTTCTCTGACAATCTCTCTAACTTCCTGGATTCTAATAGGTACTTCTCTGTAAAAGAGTACAGCTGTGTTATTCTTGAAATGTAGTACAAAGAAACCTGTCTTAACTGCATTTGTGTTTCAAAAAGTGCATCTACTATTCTTTTAGATCTAATAGTATTAAAATGTCTGAATTGTTCAAACATTCTTTTTTGAAGATGGTGTAACATTTCATGTATTTAGTTTTGTAATTAGAGATATGAGTACTCTATTGAATGGAATATAAAATTATAAATATCATAACTACTAACCAAGTTTTGAAATCTAATATTAGAATTTTGCATGTTTGAAAAAGTTAATGTCCAACATTAGTTAAGTATAGAAAGAGTTTCTACTTTTTCCCAAAAGACTTGGAAATATTGACAGTTTAGAAAGAAATGTGCATAATTATCAGTTTGATTACAACCAGAACATTTACTGTCATCTTTTACCTTCCATTGAAATATCAGTTATTGACAATGAAGAATGTATTAAATGCAGTAATTATGCATACTTAATTATTATTTGAGGCTTGACTTTCTCTGCCACTGGTGCTTCTTTAGGTCTACAAAAACAAGGTGTTTTTTAATGTCATTATAAGGCTTAGCACTTATAAAACATAATCAGGTACTTTTCATAGCCTATTTTTCGTAGAATCCTACTGATAAAGTTTTGACGAAAGCTTTCAAAGATGAATTTTAATGATGATGATGGATGGCTGTTTAATGTCCAGCGGCAAATTAATATGCATATTCAGGATCAGAACATGTTAATGAATTATGAATATTAACCCTGCTTTGTACTAGACCGACACAATGACCCGGATTTTTAACGAGCTAGTTCACAAGGTAACAGTCCGCAGGAAGACATGTCACCTTACCCGGACACAATATTCTGACTCTTTGTACATTAATTATAACTACTGTAAATTAAGAAATTATTGCGTTCATTTAATTTATTATTGCGATTTTGTCATTTAAGACTAAAATGCGATTTTAATTTTTGCGATATTGAGAATAAAATGCTTCGCTGGGGCGCAGCTTGATACGACCGCAGAGGTCGAACCCTGAACAGTTGGGGCAAGTATGGACACAACATTCAAGCTTGATACAGCTCTGAATTTGGATTGTTATTAAATATTTGACACAGCATAGGTTTCTGACACAGAAAGAATGTGGTCTAAGAACTTGAATTTTTTTAATTTACCTTTTATGGTCCAATGTCCAAAATCAAAATACATGGTTAGATTCAGCATATCAAAGAACCCCATATATTCAATTTTTGTTAAAATCAAACAAAGTTTAATTTTGGACCCCAACTTGGATAAACTTGAAAACTGGGCCCATAATCAAAAATCTAAACACATGTTTAGATTCAGCATATCAAAGAACCCCAAGAATTCAATTTTTGTTAAAATCAAACTAAGTTTAATTTTGGACCCTTTGGACCTCAATGAAGACCAATTTAAAAAACGGGACCCAAATCAAAAATCTAAAAACACAGTTAGATTTGGCATATCAAAGAACCCCAATAATTCAATTTTTGATGAAATCAAACAAAGTTTAATTTTGGATCCTTTTGACCTCAATATGAACCAATTTGATAGCGGGGCCCACAAATAAAAAATCTAAATACATGGTTAGATTCAGCATATCAAAGAACCTCATATATTCAATTTTTGTTGAAATCAAACAAAGTTTAATTTTGGACCCCAATTTGGACCAACTTGAAAACTGGGCCCATAATCAAAAATCTAAATACATGTTTAGATTCAGCATATCAAAGAACCCCATATATTCAATTTTTGTTGAAATCAAACAAAGTCTAAAAACTGGACCCTATCTTGGACCAACTTGAAAACTGGGCCCATAATCAAAAATCTAAACACATGTTTAGATTCAGCATATCAAAGAACCCCAAGAATTCAATTTTTGTTAAAATCAAACTAAGTTTAATTTTGGACCCTTTGGACCTTAATGTAGACCAATTTAAAAAACAGGACCCAAAATTAAAAATTTAAATACACGGTTAGATTTGGAATATCAAAGAACCCCAATAATTCAATTTTAGATGAAATCAAACAAAGTTAAATTTTGGACCCTTTTGACCTCAATATGAACCAATTTGGGTCCACAAATAAAAAATCTAAATACATGGTTAGATTCAGCATATCAAAGAACCTCATATATTCAATTTTTGTTGAAATCAAACAAAGTTTAATTTTGGACCCCAATTTGGACCAACTTGAAAACTGGGCCAAAAATCAAAAATCTAAATACACGTTTAGATTCAGCATATCAATGAACCTCATATATTCAATTTTTGCTAAAATCAAACAAAGTTGAATTTTGGACCCTTTGGACCTTAATGTAGACCAATTTGAAAACTGGACCCAAAATTAAAAATCTAAATACACTGTTAGATTCGGCATAACAAATAAATAAATGTGATCAAAGATTTTACAAATCTAATGCGCCATACTGTGCAATTAAAGATTACTTCTTGAAATTTTTCAATATTTGAAATTTGAAAAAAAAATAATATTTGAAGAATAATTCTTTTTAATTTCTGAAATCTGAAATGAGAAAAAATTGACCCCCCACAATTTCTTTTTATCCCCCCCCCCCTTTTTTTCCCCCCAAAAATTCTTTCCCTCAAGATATGGCCATAATCTCAATTCAAATTTCCAATGGAGTTGGCAACCATAATTACCCATTTAAATTTACCATAGTGCTAACTTAATCTATTTTATAATAGAATTAAAAATATAGTGTCAAATCTTTCATATGGATTTTTTTGTAAAAAAAAAAGATGCAACATTTGCAGATATTTTTACTGGTCTTCCTTTATAAATATGCATTTCTTTAAACATAATTTAAAAGCAGTGTAAGGGAAGTAACCAAAACGTTGTATTTGGATTACCTCCCTTACACTGTTTTAAATTATCTTTATTGTTCATTAACCATTACTTTATACATAATTTAAAAGCAGTGTAAGGGAGATAATTTCAATGATATATTTGATTTATCTCCCTTACACTGCTTTAAATTATGTTTTGTACTAAAGTATTTGTCCATTAACCAGGACAACCTTGTTTTTCCCCCTTTTTTGCCCCTAATTCCTAAACGGTTTGAGCCATAACCCCCCAAAGCAAATCCTAACCATCCTTGGTGGTATGGAAACTTGTAGTATAATTTCAGAGAGATCCATACACCGTTCCACAGTTATTGTCTGGAAACTAGAAAATGCTTATTTTTGGCCCCTTTTTGGCCCCTAATTCCTTAACTGTTGGTACCATAACCCCCAAAATCAATCCCAACCTTCCTTTTGTGGTATTTAACCTTATGGTCAAATTTCAAAAAGATCCATTCACTTAAACTAAAGTTAGAGTGCGAAAACCAATGTGTATTCGGACGACGACGCCGGACGACGACGACGACGACGACGACGACGACGACGCCAACGTCATACCAATATACGACCACAAAATTTTTTGCGGTCGTATAAAAATCCTGTTTAATTCATATAAAAAATTTCAAAATGCGAGTTTATATTATTGCGATTATAACCCTGTCGCATTTTTCGCAATAATAAAAACATCGCAATATTTTCTGAATTTACAGTATCTGATTACTGTGGATTTTTTTTTTCGTGGGATACCAACTTTCATAGATTTCGTGGGTAAAGATAGATGTACACAAATTTTTATGTTCAATAAAGTACAAATTTTCTATACTCTCATACTCTCATATTCAGCCTTGGGCAAAACCACAAAATTAAATATATAGGGTTTAAGCTAGGATTTTGAGGGCTTAAGTCACTTTTGCGCGGGATGAAAATCAACCTTATTTTGATTAGCAGCAAGGGACCTAGGATGTATATTACTATCTATACATCTTTGTCAGACTTTGAAGGACTTAGGCATACTAGGCAGTTACTGCATGATTTGACTGATGTGGCACTTTAATACAAAGATTAGGATATAAGATCTAGAAATCTAGTTCACAATTTCACATCAGTTAGTTTCAGGGTACATTCCTAATCAGCAAAAGTTGGGATCCATTTTTTTTTTAAACCAGGAATCACAGCATAAATAAACTTGTAAGGACTATTTCACTGCATTATTCATATACTCATTATCCTTAAAAACGTTTTAAAGCGGTATTTAGAATTAATTCTATAAAGTTGGAACCAAGGACTTGTACAAATCCTTATTGGAACAATTTGAATGACTTTAAATTGTAAATTTATCATGAATAGATCACGTTTACTTTCGATTTCCAAATGAAATAAAAACGGGAAGTGACAAGTGCATAATAAATTCAGAATGAATCCGAATTCATCTACGGATTGGTTCGTGTTTAAAAAAGGCAGATAATTATAATTTTTTAAATTAAATTTGCTAAATAAGAACTTTATTTGTCTCTCTCGTTTAGTTTGATACTTAATTATTTCGTATTTTATGTTTTAGTGTCTTTAAATTCATAAGAATACTTTCGCGGTTGCGCAGTTCATCGTAAAGGAAGCACCTGTTAACATTTCTGAATGTTATGAATAAAGTTCTATCTTTTTAATCGAAATTGTCGAAAGTTTTTGATTATAAGTTGTATCAAATATGACGAAAATATGTTCATTTGACGAAACTACGACAAGCGAACTGCAAATTGTGATCGTTTGTGAAATATTGAAATTAAAATGCGAACTGTCCGAGGGAAAACTCAAATGACGAAACTACGACAAACGAACTGCAAACTGTGCTCGTTTGATAAATATTGAAATTGAAATGGCGACTGACTGATTTTACTGGGGAAAATAATTATGATGATCAATTATGAGGTTGATAAATAATTAACAGATTAGTGACCCATCCCATGGCGATAAGCGGATTATCTGTAATCACAACTTATTTATAACACCTGTTGGAAATGTTAATTAGCTGAGGGTCATAAACTTGTCAGAAACAATAAGACAGGTAGAATTATAGTATTTTCATGCGAAAATATTTTTACTCTTTCCAAATTTAAGTGACGAAATTGATTTGGAAAACTTTCGTCATTTTGAAAACCGTTTCGTAAATGACGAAAATGAGGAGCGCTAGCAAAATCACTGCTCGAAAATACAATGCTTCCTCAATTCAAAAAAATTGGTACCTCAATAGAAATAAAATGCTCCGCAGGGTGCAGCTTGATACGACCGCAGAGGTCGAACCCTGAACAGTTGGGGCAAGTATGGACACAACATTCAAGCTTGATACAGCTCTGAATTTGGATTGTAATTAAATATTTGACACAGCATAGGTTTCTGACACAGAATGAATGTGGTCTAAGAACTTAAAAATTTTAAATTGGACATTCACCTATTATGGTCCAATATCCATAATCTAAATACATGGTTAGATTCAGCATATCAAAGAACCCCAAGAATTCAATTTTTGATGAAATCAAACAAAGTTTAATTTTGGACCCCGATTTGGACCAACTTGAAAACTGGGCCCATAATCAAAAATCTAAATACATGTTTAGATTCAGCATATCAAAGAACCCTAAAAATTCAATTTTTGTTAAAATCAAACTAAGTTTAATTTTGGACCCTTTGGACCTTAATGTAGACCAATTTGAAAACGGAACCAAAAATTAAGAATCTAAATACACGGTTAGATTCGGCATATCAAAGAACCCCAATAATTCAATTTTTGATGAAATCAAACAAAGTTAAATTTTGGACCCTTTTGACCTCAATGTGGACAAAGTTGATAACAGGGCCCAAAAATCAAAAATCTAAATACATGGTTAGATTCAGCATATCAAAGAACCCCATATATTCAATTTTTGTTGAAATCAAACAAAGTTTAATTTTGGACCCCGATTTGGACCAACTTGAAAACTGGGCCCATAATCAAAAATCTAAATACATGTTTAGATTCAGCATATCAAAGAACCCTAAAAATTCAATTTTTGTTAAAATCAAACTAAGTTTAATTTTGGACCCTTTGGACCTTAATGTAGACCAATTTGAAAACGGAACCAAAAATTAAGAATCTAAATACACGGTTAGATTCAGCATATCAAAGAACCCCAATAATTCAATTTTTGATGAAATCAAACAAAGTTAAATTTTGGACCCTTTGGACCTCAATGTGGACCAATTTAAAAACGGGGCCCAAAATCCAAAAACTTAATACACTGTTAGATTCAGCATATTAAAGAACCCCAAGATTTCAAGAATAAAACCCCATTGAAATTGATCAAGAAATAAGCAATTTATACGAAGTATCTTCTTTTGCACAATACTGTGCAATTGAATATTTCTTGCTATTTCGCAATACTGTACAATTGACAATTTCTTGCTATTGCGCAATATTGTGCTATTGGATATTTCTTGCTATTGCGCAATACTGTGCAATTGAAGATTTCTTGCTATTGCGCAATACTGTGCAATTGAAGATTTCTTGCTATTGTGCAATACTTGTGCAATTGAAAATTTCTTGCTATTGCACAATACTTATTAGATAATAATTTACACATCCTGTTTGGTGTGTATCTCCTACCATATCATTATTATTTGCTTTTAAATATTAATCAGAAATAACCAACTTAAAATGGAAAATTTTAAAAGAAAAAAAAAAGGAAAAAAAGAAAAAAAAAGAAAAAAAAAAATCCCCCCCCCCAAATTTTTTGAACCCCCTTATGATTCATCACCCCCAAACTCAATCCCAGCCTTCCCTTTGTGGTATGGTACCTTGCAGTACAATTTCAGGGAGATCCATACACTTGAACACAACTTATTGTCTGGAAACTAGAAAAATGCTTATTTTTGGCCCCTTTTTGGCCCCCAATTCCTAAACGTTTCGGGCAATTACCCCCAAACTCAATTCCAGCTTTCCCTTTGTGATATGGAACCTTGTAGTACAATTTCAGAAATATCCAAACACTTACACACAAGTTATTGTCATGAAACTAGAAAAATGCTTGTTTTTTGCCCCTTTTTTGGCCCCTAATTCCTAAAATTTTGAGGCAATTACCCCCAAAATCAATTACAGCCTTTCCTTTGTGATATGGAACCTTGTGGTACAATGTCAGATAGATCCATACACTTACACACAAGTTATTGTCTGGAAGTTACAAAAATGCTTATTTTTGGCCCCTTTTTGGCCCCTAATTCCTTAACTGTTGGTACCATAACCCCCAAAATCAATCCCAACCTTCCTTTCGTGGTATTGAACCTTATGATAAAATTTCATGGAGATCCATTCACTTAAACTAAAGTTAGAGTGCGAAAACCAATGTGTCTTCGGACGACGCCGGACGACGCCAGACGACGACGACGACGGACGACGACGACGCCAACGTCATACCAATATACGACCAAAAAATTTTTAATTTTTGCGGTCGTATAAAAATGAATCCACAGCAATTAGATAAGAAAACTGGAAATTAAAATGCTTTGGCAACATTAAAAGTAAGAAAAAAATTTTATCCACAAAGGTAAGATGTGTTTCACCACAAAATACATGTAGTGAATTAAATGGTAAAGAATTACATTTCACTTTTGTAATTAAGGTATATATGTATTAAAAGGTAACATTTTTGCTCATGCGTTTTTCCCAAATAAATTAAATTGAAGATGCTTCAGACAATGATATGTCACTCTTTTGTTTTGTGTACTCCTTTATTGTCTTAATAGCTAGATTTAGCATGAAGAAAACCTTAATCCATTAGATGATATTCAAATCAGAGTAAAATAAGCAATAACAACACTTCTTGTTTGATTCAAACATGGGAGTTTGGTGATAGTGGTTATTTCACCATGTGGAGGTTGAAAAAGTTGTATTATGTGACATTTTTCTATGCATCCGTATAGCCTTTTTCCAAGGTGGATAACACAAATGAAATAAAATTAACTGATTGTCACTAAAAAAAAATCGATCACACTTTTTTATTTTGACTCCCTCGCCCTCCTGTAAAATCTATGGTTCTATAAGTTAACATTACACACAAGTTGTTATTTCATGCAGACAATGTGTTGTTGATCCCAAATATGTGTAACTTTATGATGTTATCACATGATTAGTGTGTAAAATGAGTTCAGACCTGGTAAAATGGATTACATCTTCATTTTCGTATCATAATCATCCCCTAATAACAATTTTGTGACAAATTTACCCTTCCTGTTCTGATTCTTCAGATTGTTCCTCCAATATATGTTCTTCTATTTCTTCACTGCTGACCTCTGGCACTGGTTCCTCTTTCTCTCTACTGGTTTCCTCCTCCTCTTCCTCACATACCACCTCCTCTTCCTCTACTTGTACATCCTCATCCTGATCATGATAATTACTGGAAAAACAACCTCTTATGTTAAACTAAAATGTTCTGGACAAGTATTATAGGTGTACAATATTTAGCAAAGAGTCAAATATGAGAATAAAAGGAGGATTACGAAATATAAACAAGAGATTTACCGAATTCAGGCTTGTATAGTCCACGGTTTTCATTCCAGGGGTGTGATTTATAGAGTATGATAAGCCAGAAATAAGAGAATAACTTTATTTACGTGGTTTGTTTAGGTTTCGCCATATTTGTTATTGAAATTGTAAGAGGCGCCCTTATCATTTGCAAAACTAATATTTTACCTAATCCAATTTAAAATCCATTATAAAGTGATTAAATTCAAAATTGAATGCTTAATAACAAATTTCTCATTTCTTTTCACATAACATAAACTGGAAACCGCTTGTATTTTATAACGGCATGAAAAAAGAGTATAAGTCAGTTGGGAACCAGCTTATGCATAACAATGTATAAACTACAAAACATAATCAGTTAAGTTCCATTTTGGGAATTCATACTGATGCATGTGTATTGTTTTAGCTTATGATCCTTCAAACATTAATATGATGGATATGTTAAGCGGTATTTTACTAAAGGATGGAACTGTTTTACTTTTAAAGTCGTATTCTAGTGGTATCTATTAAATACAGATTTTCCGCACACTCTCACGATATTTATTTTCGATTTACACATACTATTCTTACTTCCAGTTACAACACTCCCAATAGTTTTTTGTGATTTTGACTTATTTTAACATTCATGAAATGATCTAGAATCCTTTACAAGCATTTTCAACTGATGATGGAAAGCGAATTTTTCCATGAAAATACCGCAAACGACCACATACGATTTGATAATACAGGAGTTTCAAGAGACATTATCGACCAGTTACAAAAAGTTTTTTTTTTTACTTGAATTTTTGGCGGTGAGAAGAGGTGTGCAGATAATGTACCAGTGTGAACTATACAATGCCCATTATGGTTATACACCAGTTATGTATGAAAACTGAACTATATATAGAAACCAAATGTTAAATTCAGATTTTTCTGCTTCATTGAGGACATTGTCCCCTCACTACAATGTACAAACATACCATTGTTCATTTTCTTCCTCTTCCTCCCCCTGTTCACTGCTGACATCTGGTGGCAGGGGCCAAGCCCTGATGACCTTATCACTTCCTTGTGTAGATTCCATGTCACTCTTCTCAGAAGACTGTTCAACAAACGGCTGAGTTCCTTCCACATCTTTGCTTTCTTCTTCTTCATCATATGTTTCACCTAAAACTTCAGCAACTTCTTCATCATTTTCATCAAATGATTCCTTAGGACTTTTTGGTTTCTGACTTCCCTCGACAACCTCAAATCCAGTTGTGCTGGCAGTGTCAAGGGTCCTTTCACTGGTCTGACGACTACCCTGTGTATCAAAGAAATCATCCATACAAACATTATTTAGTCTTTCTAATGATATGGGAGTGTTTTCTCCAGACTGAGCTTTAGACTTCGGTGTCTCTAGCTCGTTTTCTTCTGTAGACGACACTGGTGGTAACGGAACTGATCCTGGAGTTGTCTCCCCATTAACAATATGCGGAGAGAATTCTTTTGAGTTAGGAGTTTGAGTGATGGTACTGCCTTCTGAAATAACAGACTGGTTCCCCTGACTACTACGAGGAGAGTAAAGTTCTTCTTGTAAACCAGTAACATGAGTAAATGAACTTGTACTGGATCCCATACTGGTTCTAGTTTGTTCCACTGTGGTATCTGCTTGTGCTTTTCTGGAGAATAAAAATAAATTTAGAATCAAGCTAGTAATAAACAAAAGCATTGTATATAACTTTTCAATATTTTCTACTTAACCTATTATCAAATGATATCATTTTTTTTATTTTCTTTAAAACTTTATATATCAACAATTGGTGTAGAGGTGTTATTCTAATAAAATAATAAGAAGAAGCTATTCTCTGTTCTGATGAAATGACTACAGATAGGTTAAAGAAATTTCAACCAATTAAACAACAAAACTATTTTGGTAACTGATATCTAAATCAAGGCAAATCATATTTTTATGACAACTTGAGATAGTTACAACATAATCCATTAAAAATGACACACCAAGTATTAAGTAGAACAAAATCTACATTGCAAATTTGTACAGATTTTAAAATGTGGCCTACAGTATGAGTAAGGTTAAAATATAAGGGAAAATAAATGGAGAATATGCCTGTGGGACACAGATGATGTCCCCGCTTGCATATAACATTATAAAGGGACATAACTCTAAAACGGTAAAAGTGAGTAAGCTCAAATATCCAATGCCCTAATTTCTTTCTAGGAGGCAACTACTATGCTGTACAATAATAAATTCACACAAACAGAAAAGGCTTTACAAATCAAAAGATTTGATGTTAAAAGGTCAATTTTATGCTCCTTAGACATAGTGACCTCAAAATCAATAGGAATCTTCTGCTACTTACATGTGACCATATTTCCAAGAAATATATTTCGTTTATATTCCAGAAACAAAAATTACTTTTTTTTTTTTGCTTTCCATATAAACAACATTGTATGCATGCAAGAAACTTGTTTGTCACAATATAAATCAGGATTTTGAAAGATAAAGAACATCTTTTTTCATTCAACTTCATCATAACAACAATGCAATTACATTTAATTACAAATTTACAATAGTTAAATAATGAAAAAAATTACAAGACTCCGAAGTTCAAGCTAGTTGTCAGAATAACATCACCAAAGTCAAACTTTGATAACGGGGTACCATCTTTTGAGAATTTACTGCAAAATGAGTTACAAAATACATAAAACAATAATATATATTTCATAAAATTTCAAATTTACCCTGAATTATACAAATATGTATATACGTGTTGAAGACCGTACTTTGACCTATAATGGTTTACTTTTATAAAATTTGACTTGGTATAGAGTTGTCTCATTGGCACTCATACCACATCTTCTTATATCTACCTATGCATTTAATGATTGATTTGATCAGTGTATTTTTAAGAGATCTCAATAATATAAAATGATAATTTATTTGTGTAGGTATTCTGAGGATCTTGTTATAGCTATAAATGTACAGAACTGCTATAAAAAACTACTGCCTTGAACAGACTTTTTTCACTGGATGGTCTGATAAGAAGCACTTTAGTTTTAGTTCCAAGAGTTTCATTTAAATATTAAAAAAATTTACTAAATTGTGACGACACAAAAAAAATAACGCATGATCGATCCTTTGGTTTGGGAAAACTTTACTTTGTTATATTTAACCTTAAAAGATGTCATAAAACTTTATTTGAACCAAAAATGATAAGGAATTAAACACAATTTTGAAAAATATACTCAATACATGAAGTTACTGTTAATGACTAACAGTTACACCAAAAACTCATGGTGGCAAGAATGAGGACTAGGGTCTAAACTCACCTAGGACTAGAGGTAAAGGCATCAGGAGTCAGCAGTAATGGATGAGATAGATCTTGACTATTATTGTGAATATTAGTATCCATACTAAGATCTGATAAAGCATCTTGAATACCTATAAAAGTCATAATATTAAAATTAGCCAACATGTACAATTTACATCAATTTTACACCAATATGTATTGAGAGCTATTTATTGCTCATTAATTATAACCTTGTTCAATGTTGTCTTAATCTTATATCAAGAAGGTATAACTTGTAGTTGCTGAGAAAATGTGACTAAATTTTCAAATATGCTCAAGACCTTTTTTTCAAGTTCAGTTTTTCGGCAAATGGAAGTAGACCACCAAAGGAACTGAAAACATGTCACACATTTAAGCATTACCAGATGGAGCTTGTTGCCATATATATACCGGGAGGATTTAGTTGCTGAGAAAATACTTTTGAGATGATATGGAAAAAAAAATAGTCTTCAGAGGCAAAAAAGCAGCAATGAAAATCTTAATATATGAATATTGCAATGCAAAGGCTTGTAAATGACTAAATAGAAGTACAAAATGATTTAAAATGATCCCTTAAAATGAAATTCTTGTGTTACCTGAAAATCATCCATATATATTATACATTTAACGCAACAGTACCCAAATTGCATGGGAGTACCCAATTTCCACCAAGTTTGCATAAAAGTGATTGATAGCTTATATATTTCCTTAGCGACTAAACAATTCGTAATTTTAACACTTATCATTATACATGGAATGATTAGAGGAAGAACAAGAATAAACTAACTGATCCTGCTACTTAGAGATAGGAGCATAAAAAGTATAATATCTGCTTACTTGAAACAAGATAAGGAAAGTGTTTAATTTCCATGTGGAATGGTAAAGTGTAGATGGTTAACACACAATTTAATGTAATGATTACACAAACTTGCACACATAAGTAATGGCATGATTGGATTAATACACACAAGTAATAGTGGCATGATTGGAGTGACACACAAGTAATGGCATGAATGGAGTGAAACACACAAGTAATGGCATGAATGGATTGATACACACAAGTAATGGCATGAAAGGATTGATACACACAAGTAATGGCATGAATGGAGTGATACACACAAGTAATGACATAAATGGAGTGATACACACAAGTAATGGCATGAATGGAGTGATATACACTATTAATGGCATGAATGGATTGATACACACAAGTAATGGCATGAATGGATTAATACACACAAGTAATAGTGGCATGATTGGAGTAACACACAAGTAATGGCATGAAAGGAGTGATACACACAAGTAGTGGCATGAATGGAGTGATACACACAAGTAATGGCATGAATGGAGTGATACACACAAGTTATTGCATGAATCAGAATGGATTGATACACACAAGTAATGGCATGAATGGATTGATACACACAAGTAATGGCATGAATGAATATATACACACATGTAATGGCATGAATGGATTGATATACACAAGTAATGGCATGAATGGATTAATACACACAAGTAATAGTGGCATGAATGGAGTGATACACACAAGTAATGGCATGAATGGATTGATACACACCAGTAATGGCATGAATGGAGTGATACACACAAGTTATGGCATGAATGGAGTGATACACACAAGTTATGGCATGGATGGAGTGATACACATAAGTAATGGCATGAATGGATTGATACACACAAGTAATGGCATGAATGGATTGATACACACCAGTAATGGCATGGATGGAGTGATACACACAAGTAATGGCATGAATGGAGTGATACACACAAGTAATGGCATGAATGGATTGATACACACCAGTAAAGGCATGAATGGATTGATACACACCAGTAATGGCATGAATGGAGTGATATACACTATAAATGGCATGAATGGATTGATACACACAAGTAATGGCATGAATGGAATGATACACACAAGTTATGGCATGAATGGAGTGATACACACAAGTTATGGCATGGATGGAGTGATACACACAAGTAATGGCATGAATGGATTGATACACACAAGTAATGGCATGAATGGAGTGATACACACAAGTAATGGCATGAATGGAGTGATACACACAAATAATGGCATGAATGGATTGATACACACAAGTTATGGCATGAATGGATTAATACACACAAGTAATGGCATGAATGGAGTGATACACACAAGTAATGGCATGAATGGATTGATACACACAAGTTATGGCATGAATGGAGTGATATACACTATTAATTGCATGAATGGATTGATTTACTGTATGTTATCTTTGCACCAGGTTTAGTATTGTGATTAGATGAAACAAGCTAAGTTTTATATTATGGTGCCATTTCTCAATTCAGAATAACAGAAAATTTCAAATATCTTTGGAATAAAGCAACACATTTCAAAATTAAAACTGTTTACCATATAGAATTTTACTACCAATGCTCATGTTACTGTAAAGTTAACCTAGAGACAAACAACAAGATGATTTAGAATTGTTGTCAAGAGATTTTATCAAATGTAACTCAGAAGAGTTTGTCAAGAATTTGTGATTTAAATTTTTAATTTTATATGTATGGAGCCTTTGCTTAAACTGCTAAATGTTTGATCGTTAAGATTTCATGTATGGTAGTCAAATTCTAAATGACATTATGGCAAAATCATGTTTTCTACTATTTATAATTTTTGAATCATTTAGATTTTTCTGTCTTCTCATGTTCCCAAACCACACACTAGTTTATACTATCTTCATGAATATTAACCCAATTTGAAATAAAATAAAATCTGATTCCACTTGTGACAAGTGTAAAGATTTGCAATAGGAACTTAAATCTAAATTAAGTATTTTTTTTACATGCAATGTGTGGGAAAAATAATGTTAATCTGGATGTAAATTATATTCAAAATAACAAGAATTTAAACATTTTACCAGAAGAGTATTTAAAATGAAAGTTTTTTCTTAATATTGAGAAATAAAAAGGAGGCTGGGGAAAATGTTTAATGCTTAGCATAGGAAAATGCCAGAAGGTTTACAAAAGACTGTGGATTCATTTATTTTCATGGATACTAATTTTGGTGGATGTAGGAAAAATTTATCACAAAGTAAAACCAGATTTATTTTACCAAACCAAATCTACCCTACCCCCTACAATAACATCAAACCATATCAAAACACAATTACCCATTCTCTTAGGACTAGGTGATGACTTCGCTGATAATGAAGATGTTATGATATGAAAACACAATGAGAATGAAAATATGGCAACATGAACAACTGCTATCCTAGTTTTGTTATTTGATGAAATTGGACCAACCAAAGAGTGCAGCAGGTTTTAATCTTTTTTTATTACAACCATATTGTAAAATATACAAGTAGTCTAGCAGATTTTAGTCTTCTTTTTGCAATATCCGTAAACGTAATCTATTGTTCTGTATGATCAACAATACACAACTTCCTCTTTCATGCTAAATTTAACAGTTTTAGCTCTATTTTGTTGTTGCTTTTTTGTAAAAAATAAATTGACAGTCTACACTGCTAAGGGATCATAGATTTATTCTTACGAGGAAGCTCCAAGCATGCTCGGAGGATGCCTGGAGCTTTTTTAGTAGGTTCTTCTCAGCAGTTTATGTAACAATAATTATCATGATCCATTAAGATGTCAATCAAATCTATAGCACTTTTATAATAAGGAAAGTAGAGCATTAAAGAGGAAGCTCCATTAACACCTGTGTAAACATCTGGTCTATTCAAACAAATCTTGCATTAATTTTACAAAACTATAAAATAGATGAGAAATTCTTCAATATTACTGTACAATGCTTGGTTTCAAGTCTTCACAGAAAGAAAATGATTTTAAAACATTTTCTTAATAATTATCATTCTTTTTCAATACACATGATACAAAAAAACACTCAAATTTTATTTTTGAAATATAAATATATTTTAAATTTATATTATATAAAATGAAATATAAAAGTCATCAAAGACACAAACTATGGTTATTGATTTATAACCACACTACCAAAACATAGTACATTCAGTTTCATGCGAAAAAGGGTTGATCTTTTTTTATATTCCATTTAATTTGACAGTTGTTTGAAATTAACCCTCCATTCATTGCAGAAAAGTTTTTTTAAGTCGTAAACATGTTTCTTGGGTGTCAAAGCAATAAAAATATACTATATTCTACAGGGAAAAAAGGGGGAGAGAATTTGATTGGTTAACTTCTGGTGATGTTTACTTTCTTATATGCACTTATAAAAATACCTGAAAAGTTATGCTATATTTTCACTGTAGTACAGGACATTTATTTATGTCAAGTATTTCTTTATTTAAAACATAGATAAATTCTGCACATTTCTAAATCTGCACAATTAAAAAAAAATGCCAAGTAAAGAGAGAAGTACTAGAGGGAAAACAATGGTGGTATTACCCCCTCAAACCAGGCTTCCACTAATGAATTACAACTTTTCTTAAAGTAGCCATAATTTTCTATAAAAGAACTTAGTTTGCTATTTAAAAAAAAAAACATATTACCATTGTTTAGTTAGGGGCATTACTTAAACAAGTAATTTTCAAAATTACCTATACAAGTTATGTTGAAAACGAGGCTTTTTCAAATATTACTTCTATATCATGAATAAGTAACTTCTGTTAATATTATTTGTATAGGTGTCCATTCATACAGGTTTTACTAGCTTTAACAAATTTTTACAGACATCTGGTTATTTTCCCCATGAAATATTCTGGTAAAACTATTTAAATCCTCAACAAGCACTAATTGCTTTTCTGATGCCACACTTCTTGGTCAAACATTGGCCTCTTGGGGCTATTAAAATATCATTTCCCCTTAAAATCTTAGAGATAGACAGTTATAACTAGATATGGAACCTTTAATTAAGACTTGAAGTTATTTATAATTTGAATCTTAATCAAAAGCAATTACATATATTCCTTAAATAATTGTAAGTACTAAGTTTTTTGAAGTTGTATAAAATAATTTATTAAAGTAATATTTTTGTCATTATTTTTTAAAGTAACCTCTCTATACTCATCTAAAATTGAATAAATACTTAATTTTGTTTAATGAAATGATATAAAAATTCTTAATAAAATGCTCCGCTGGGGCGCAGCTTGATATGACCGCAGAGGTCGAACCCTGAACAGTTGGGGCAAGTATGGACACAACATTCAAGCTTGATACAGCACTGAATTTGGATTGTAATTTAATATTTGACACAGCATAGGTTTCTGACACAGAATGAATGTGGTCTAAGAACTTAAAAATTTTAAATTTACCTATTCAAACCATATCATTATTATTTGCTTTTATATATAAATCAGAAATAACCAATTTAAAATGGAAAATTTTAAAGAAAATAAGGGAAAAAAAATCCTCCCCCCAAATTTTTTGAACCCCCTTATGATTCACCACCCCCAAACTCAATCCCAGCCTTCCCTTTGTGGTTTGGTACCTTGCAGTACAATTTCAGAGAGATCCATACACTTGAAAACAAGTTATTGTCTGGAAACTAGAAAAATGCTTGTTTTTTTGGCCCCTTTTTGGCCCCAAATTCCTAAACGTTTAGGGCAATTACCCCCAAACTCAAACCTAGCGTTCCCTTTGTGATATGGAACCTTGTAGTACAATTTCATAAAGATCCATAAACTGACACACAAGTTATTGTCCTGAAACTAGAAAAATACTTGTTTTTTTGCCCCTTTATGGTCCCTAATTCCTAAAATTTTGAGGCAATTACCCCCAAAATCAATCCCAGCCTTCCCTTGGTGGTATGGTACCTTGCAGTACAATTTCAGAGAGATCCATACACTTGAACACAAGTTATTGTCTGGAAACTAGAAAAATGCTTATTTTTGGCTCCTTTTTGGCCCCTTATTCCTAAACGTTTTGGGCAATTACCCCCAAACTCAATTCCAGCTTTCCATTTGTGATATGGAACCTTGTAGTATAATTTCATAAAGATCCATACACTTGAACACAAGTTATTGTCTGGAAACTAGAAAAATGCTTATTTTTGGCTCCTTTTTGGCCCCTTATTCCTAAACGTTTTGGGCAATTACCCCCAAACTCAATTCCAGCTTTCCCTTTGTGATATGGAACCTTGTAGTACAATTTCAAAAAGATCCATACACTTACACACAAGTTATTGTCATGAAACTAGAAAAATGCTTGTTTTTTGCCCCTTTTTGGCCCCTAATTCCTAAACTTTGGAGGCAATTACCCCCAAAATCAATCCCAGCATTCCCTTTGTGATATGGAACCTTGTGGTACAATGTCAGAGAGATCCATACACTAACACACAAGTTATGTCTGGAAGTTACAAAAATGCTTATTTTTGGCCCCTTTTTGGCCCCTAATTCCTTAACTGTTGGTACCATAACCCCCAAAATCAATCCCCACCTTCCTTTTGTGGTATTGAACCTTATGGTAAAATTTCATAGAGATCCATTCACTTAAACTAAAGTTAGAGTGCGAAAACCAATGTGTCTTCGGACAACGACGACTACGACGACACCAACATCATACCAATATACGACCACAAAATTTTTTTGCGGTCAGATAAAAACTACATTTATTCCATGCTTTATTTGACATTTAAAATAACTATTGAGTTATTAAATAATTTTTAAAAACAAAAAATACTTATAAAAGTGACTAAAAAAAATTACTTGTTTAGTATCGCCACCTGACTGTTGTTTGTGTCTTGATAACTTTTATGTAGCATATTATATAATATAAACTATTTTTAAATCATATCATCTAGTTATAAAATTTGAGAATTTTTTTTATTATAAAAAAAGGAATGATTATTAAATATAATAAGAAAATATTTAAATGACTTGCTTTTTGTGGAGACTTGAGATTTCTTTCCAAGCATTACACAGCACTGTTGAGGAATTTCTAATTATTTTATAGTTTTGTAAAATTTCATGCAAAATGTATTTGAATATACCAGATGTTTACACAGGTGTTTATGGAGCTTCCTCTATAATGCTCTACTTTCCTCATCATAGAAGTGGTGTAGATTTGATTGACATCTTAATGGATCATGATAATTATTGTCACATTTACTGCTGAGAAGAGCCTACTTAAAAAGCTCCGAGCATCCTCCGAGCATGCTCGGAGCTTGCTCGTAAGAATAAATCTATGATCCCTAATATGGATGAAGTATGGGCACATTCTGTGAAACAAGTAAAACTGAAATTAACTAAGCCTATTTTTCCTTTCTTTTAAATATACATTTATAAAAAAAAAAAAAAAAAATAAATAGTGGCATGAATGTATCATTGACTCTGGTTACAGTTCCTGTGATTGATTGATTGATGTTTGCTTAACGTCCAGTGGCAAATATTTCATGCATGTTCAGGACGTGAACAAATTAACAATAAATACCATTTCCTGTGAAAGTATACATGTAAATGAGCTCCTCTAGGTCATGAACCTAAATCTACATATCTTTATTTATTAAGCTTTTTATAATTGTGATTACCTGTATCATCATGTGACACGGTACTGATCGATGGCGTGGGTGGAGGTGGAGCAGAAGATTCTGGCTGGAATCTGATCTGTAGTTCCTGTAAAGCTCTAAAAAAAAGTCACATGTAAGTTTATGTTCACATAGCTTTATCTTACACTCTGCATGACAAAATATTTGTAAAAAAAAAATTATAAAGAGAGATTTGTCTCGCCTATTTGTAATTTTGATAATGCAAATGTTGAAATTAAAATAGCAATACTTTAAAATGTAAGTTATGCAAATATTCAAAGTCAATGAACCATGACTGAAGGTACATGGCTGAACAATCTCCATGGAAATGAGATGTGCCAATGTTAATACAACTGCATACCAAATACCATTGACTTATCATAAGTCATTCCCTTTAAACAGACCTAAACACAAACATTAACTTGTAAACTATGTAAAAGTTTCAAAGTCAATGAACCATGATGAGGGGGTGGGGCTTTATAATCTCCATGGAAATAAGACTTGCAAATGCCAATAAATTTGCATACCAAATATCATTGACTTAACATTAGCAGTTCATCTTAAACTGATCTAATCACAAACTAATACATATAAACTAAGCAAATGTTTCAAAGTCAATAGACCATGACTGAGGGGGCGGTGCCAAATATTCTCCATGGAAATGAGATGTGCTAATTCTTATACAACTGAATACCAATTAACATTGGCCTACCACTAATGGTTCCTCTTGAACTGACCTAATCACAAACTAATACATGTAAACTAAGCAAAATTTTCAAAGTCAATAGACCATGACTAAGAGGGCGAAGCCAAATAATCTCCATGGAAATGAGATATGCCAATGCTTATACAACTGCATACCAAATATCATTGACCTACCACTAGTGGTTCCCCATAAACTGACCTACCACGTCTCGCTTTTCAACTCCGTCAAGGGGAGACAAAAATACACATTCTTCAAAAAATAAAAAAATGGCACATGATTTAGAAAATAAACAAAATAAAATTTGACTAAAATCACCAGAAATTGTGAGGGTTGTGGGTATTAAAAACCATCAGATAAAAGAAACATTTTTACTGAATTAAAAGAACTTATTATTCATTTTTTTAAATATTTTAGTTCTGTTAAGGACGATAAAAGGCTGAAAATTGAGACATTTTAGTTTGGTTCTCTTTGATGGGAATATTGCAACTGGGTAAGAATTGTAAAAATAAGAATTCACATTCTGATATCTGATACATATATCTGTATGCAGATTTTTCGTGAAATCCCAATAATTATTCTCACTTACTTGGGATGAAAAGTGTACAGCCTTATCCGTACATTTGAGGAAGTAACTTACTTGGGATGTACAGTGTACAGTCTTATTTGTACACCTGATGTAGTAACTTACTTGGGATGTACAGTGTACAGCCTTATCTGTACACCTGATGTAGCAACTTACTTGGGATGTACAGTGTACAGTCTTATTTGTACACCTGATGTAGTAACTTACTTGGGATGTACAGTGTACAGCCTTATCTGTACACCTGAGGAAGTAACTTACTTGGGATGTACAGTGTACAGCCTTATCTGTACACCTGATGTAGCAACTTACTTGGGATGTACAGTGTACAGCCTTATCTGTACACCGGAGGAAATAACTTACTTGGGATGTACAGTGTACAGCCTTATCTGTACACCTGAGGAAGTAACTTACTTGGGATGTACAGTGTACAGCCTTATCTGTACACCTGAGGAAGTAACTTACTTGGGATGTACAGTGTACAGCCTTATCTGTACACCTGAGGAAGTAACTTACTTGGGATGTACAGTGTACAGCCTTATCTGTACACCTGAGGAAGTAACTTACTTGGGATGTACAGTGTACAGTCTTATCTGTACACCTGAGGAAGTAACTTACTTGGGATGTACAGTGTACAGCCTTATCTGTACACCTGAGGAAGTAACTTACTTGGGATGTACAGTGTACAGCCTTATCTGTACACCTGAGGAAGTAACTTACTTGGGATGTACAGTGTACAGCCTTATCTGTACACCTGAGGAAGTAACTTACTTGGGATGTACAGTGTACAGTCTTATCTGTACACCTGAGGAAGTAACTTACTTGGGATGTACAGTGTACAGCCTAATCTGTACACCTGAGGAAGTAACTTACTTGGGATGAACAGTGTACAGCCTAATCTGTACACCTGAGGAAATAACTTACTTGGGATGTACAGTGTACAGTTTTATCTGTACACCTGAGGAAGTAACATCTGGTTTCTGTTCATTATCATCATTGTCATCTTTGATTAGTTCACCTACAACAGTAGATAATAGTAAATATACTCTATAAATCATGTATATAGCTCCTATGTTCTGTCTAAAATAATGCATTTAAATTTGAGTACGATTTAGTATCAGATTTTTTAGCACAGATTGAATATATTTAATCAATATAAAAAAGTTATTTTAGTTTGACAAATTAAATCACTACCAAAACATACAAACAAATTGAGGATTTTAAAAATTCAATACCAAATATTTCATAACGAGCACAGTACATCCTTGGCTTTCCAATATTCGGCTTTGAGCATTCCTGGAGAAGGTAAATCCAGAAAAGTGCTTCTGAAGCATGAAATTAATAAAGTAATGTTTTCATATTTTTTCAACGCTATGTGTTATTAATATTTATATACTAATCAGGACAATATTTATCAGGATATATACAATAATCCTTCATCATTCTTTATGTACAATACCTGTTGTGATATCATCAAGGTTAGAGTCATCTCCTGTCTTTTTAAACCTCTTTTTACTGGCATCAAGAATGGCAAAGCTAAGGCATGGCTGGGCTAAGATAAATTCTGAGATCGAACTAAAATGGGCAGTGTTATTTGTATTGTCTTGAAAAATCTGTAATACATATAGAACCTGGAAAAGAAAACAGACATCAATAATGTAAATCAAGAAGTTACTGTGTGAATTTATCAATTCAATTGTTAATCAAGGGATGCATATAGATTTTCGGGTTTAATACACATTAATATTGTAAAATATCAAGGCCAAGTCACAATATTAAGTTATTAAAGAGTGAGTGCAGTAAACCTTCTCAATAGACGTATTGACACTTGTATGCAAATTTGTCCGCCATTATTTAAAGTCAAACAAGTTTCCTCAAAATTTTGAGTCACAATTTACAAGTTTGATGTCATAATTAAAAAGTGATTGTTGCATGATGCCATAAGGTTATTCCAAGACAGATCTAGAGTCATTCAGAGCAAATTCAGCTAAATACCAAAAAGTGTAAATACATCTACATGCATGTGACAAGAGGCTGATTAAAAGTGTGTTATTTACTAATAAACTGCTTCGCTGAGAGCAGCTGGATACGCCCACAGAGGTCTAACCCTGAACAGTTGGGGCAAAAATGGACACAATATTCAAGCTTGATACAGGTCTGAATTTGGATTGTAATTAAATATTTGACATACATCTATCATAGGTTTCTGAATAAATGCAAAGAACTTGAAGTTGGTTATATGAATTGAATTTATATTCAATTAAAGATTTCTTGCTGTTGCGCAATACTTAGTAAATCTGTTGTCAGACTATAAACAAATAAAATTTATAAAATTCTAAAGGGAGCTTACATCAATAGATATAAACAGTTCACCAAAGTTTCATACGAATTGCTGAAAGCATTTTTGAGTTTTTGTCTGAAAACTGGAAAATCACCCCTTTTTTAATGAATAAACCCCATAATTCGGAAATGTAAAATCTAAAATTTATAAAATTCTTAAGGGAGCTTACATCAATAGATATCAACTTTTCATCAAAGTTTCATGAGAACTGCTGAAAGCATTTTTGAGTTATTGTCCGAAAAACTGGAAAATCCCCCTTTTTTTTATGAATAAAACCCCATAACTCGGTAACGTAAAATCTAAAATTTATAAAAATCCAAAGGAAACTCATGTCAATAGATGTAAACAATTAACCAAAATTTCTTGCAAGTTGGTGAAAGCATTCTCGAGTTATTGTCCGAAAACTGGAAAATCCCCCTTTTTTTAATGAATAAAAGCCCATAACTCGGAAACGTAAAATCTAAAATTTATAAAAAACGAAAGGGAGCTCACGTCAATAGATATAAACAATTCACCAAAGTTTTAAGCAAATTGGTTAAAGCGTTTTTGAGTTAATGTCCGACATGTTGACGACGGACGGACGGACAGACGGAAGTACAACAGTATACCATAATACGTCCCGTAAACGGGCATATAAAAATGGCTGGTGGAAAATGTTTCATGGATACTCAGCAAAATAACAAATTAACTATTTATCGACTGATTAGATTTGAAAAGTGGCTGGACTGGGAGAGTTGGCAGACAATTAAGACTTACATTTTGCCTTACAACTGTTTAATGTAAATTCAGAAATTATTGCGAGGTCTTCATTGATGCGAATAATGCAACTGGGTGCGTATCACAATAATTAGAACTTGCATTCTGATATCTGATACATATATCTGTATGCAGATTTTCCTGAAACTGCAATAACTAACCTTGCATTTTAGTCTTTTCTTTAAAAATTGCAATAATAAATGCATGCAATAATTCCCTCGAAGGAGTCATTATTTGAGTTCTTTTACTTGCAAAATGAGTGCATTTTCAAACATGAGCCTTGCAGTTAGCATCCAAAATCTAAATTTGACTAGATGCAACTGTTTTTTTTTTCAAAGCCAAACAGGTGCATCTTTAGCATGTTTATCAAGTCCTACTGCCAGAACCTAAAAGTCAATGTAGCCATAATGATACCTTTTGTTTGTTGTGGTTATTTACAGCTGTCCAGTTTTTAACGTGAATCCAACTTACCTTTCTTTTAATATCAGTAAGAATGAGGTATTTGGCACCAAGGTCTAAAGCTGCTTTCATACAGGGATCTATCTGAAAATTTGATGGCAGTCCAGGAGCACAAACAAAGCTGAAATGAAGAAAATATTTCTAGATCATGTAGATGCAAACAATAAGTAGAAAACAATACAACTTCAATGAAAACATTGAATATTAAAATTTCAGCATATTCTTCATGGATAGTTACGTTATTGTCAATCATACCTCATCTCCTTCTTTTTTTATAAAACTATTCAAATAACTTTTTATTTCAATCTTATTAAACCCTTCTTTGGTATGTTCATAGCTGGTCTTTTTCCTGATTGTCATTAGTTGTTTATAAACATTTATATCTGTAAATAATAAATATTTCAGAATTAACACAACTTCACAAGATTATATTTCTGACTTGGGACAGCCATATTAATAAGTTCCAGGTTAATCTAGAACTTTATCCTTCCCCATAGTCTCTACAGAATGACAAGCAACAATTGTTTTTCTGTTCAATTTCCTGTTTATTTCAGACTCTTCATAGTCTGTTTATTCATAACTATAAGTTTTATTTATAATTAAATTGTCTGAACAATATTTTGCCATCCGTTGTATTGCTTACGTTAATGTTTGTAAACAAGTCCAGGATTCACAGCTCCATATTTTGATCTCCTGATTATTTTCTGCTCCTGTGACAGCAAATTTCCAAAACTGGGCACTGTTAAATAAAGAAATAAAGAAATTAAAAAATCCTTATCCCACAGAAATTAAACATATACCTGGAAAAAAGTTAGTTTGTTATGCAATTTCTGCAACTGTCCTATTAAAACTTAATTTACAATTATTTTGCTGCTGTTACAAAGCTTATATATCAAAGGCAATATAAGCATTTAAGCAGGCGGTTAAGTCTAATTAATCTTTAAAACATCAGAATGGCTCTCATGAAGCAAGTACAGTAATGCACCATTAAGCATTAAGCATACAATCTTGCTTTTTGGAAACTGTAAATTCAGATAAACATTTCAAAAAGTATATTCTAATATTTCTGGAAAATGATTTTCAAGGGCTTTGTTAATGAACTTTCCAAAAAAAAAAAAATTAAAAGAATACTTTAGGGACATCAATATCTTATTTTTTATAATCAATTCCTGCATTTTCACTTTTAAATGAAAATGGACGATTTATTTTTCCTATAATGTCATACACATTCTGACATCATACTATGAATTTAAAAAGTCAAATTCATTAAATAAATGAATAAAAACCTAATGGTGGAAATTTATTTTGCCATGACCTAAAAATCAAAATGAAAACCTTCTTACAATTTTCTTGAATTAGTCAAATTGGACATGTTGAAATACAAAAGATTTTCATAATCTAAAATTTTGCTTTTAATTTGGATATAGAGTCCGTAACATTTGATATGTGCAAAATATTTTTATATGTGCATTGTTAAAAAAGCAAAGTTAAGAACCAAAACTAGCTATAGGACTGGATGGTTAATTATACTAAGCTTTTGGTTAAAATTAGTCTGAAACTGCTCAGACATCTGGCAGTCTTCTTTAGGACTTGCTGCGGTGGTCAGTGCATTAAGAAAACATGGAAATTGCCAGTCCTGGCTTGTCTGGGTCTGTAAATTTCATGTTTTCTATATTGGCTGATCTCTGAAGTCCTACAAGCAGTTCTAAAAAAGCTGTCAGACATCAATGCAATCTGGGACTAGGTTACAATCTGTGCATTTTGATTTAATAAATGGTCATTCAAAATTCAAATTAAATGATTTTCAACAAAGAACTGTTATCAAGGACCAAATTCAAACAAACTATGTTCAAAAAGCAACAGTTGGAATTACAAAATGTAACACCCTCCAACTGGCAAAAGAAAATGCTTTACCAAATAGGTAACCTTATACAACATAATTTTTTTATAAATGCATTAATTAGATTTATATGTATATTACTATTGAAGTACTCTCTCTTGCTTCCGCCAATGACTTTAAGGAAGCACCAACGAAATCAATCAATCCATCCATCACATAAAAATTCCATTTAATGTTTTTTTCTTCTTTTTTTCATGTAATTTTATTAACAAAATGTTTCCATTTCCTCAAAGATTGTTCCTTATGTCCATCTTTCAGTTTTTTTAAACATTCAAGAGCATATACTTGTGTTGTCTTGTGCAGTCTAGTTTCACTTTCATTTCTGTTAGAGTGCACTTTTTACAGGATTTATTTTGTTTTCTTTTTGCCCAGAACCACTTACCAACATTTATTTCTAAATAGTGAAAAAATGGTATACTTTTATTTTAAATTACACACATACAGTATTTATTGATATTGATTTATTCATTTTCCTTTGTACCAATTAATTGAGGATAAAAAAAATAGCTTTTTCGAGGACACCTTGTTTTGACAGCCTTAAGCATTTGTTCCAATCAACATGATCAAACTTAACATAGAATTTCTTAAAATATAAAAATTTGTGGTTCGCCCCAACCCATGAAATACAAGAAAATATGTATCCCACAAAAATTGATGAATCCAAAGTATTATGATAGACTTGCTTATTCATGGAACATTACAATAGACAGCGTTTAAATTGGTATATATCTGTAAGCTAGTTAACTAAGCTGTTATAATTTGAAAACTAAAATACTAAAATTTCTTTATCTTAGGGCAAAAATAAAGTAGTTCATTTTACACTGCAATATCAAAACAAGTGTATTGTTTAAATATAAACATGTAACTTCAATTACTTTTTATAATAATATAAAACATATCAGATAGAAGGTGAAATTGCAATAATAATGAACTTTAACATAGCAAATTTATAAAGTTCTATTTTTGTTTACCAGCACTGGGTCGATAAGTCAGTACTTCATCACTTAAAAAAATCATAACATTATATACATTTATATAATTTTCTGTTGATAAAATTAGAGCTTATTTAGAAACTGAGGTTACAGTTTTGCCAAAAATATCTCAGAAAACAAACAGTGCAATGATATGTGATTACTTACTCAGGACTAGAATTTTTATGATCATCCAGGAAGAAAAGGGAAGACAACTTTTTACCCTCGTGTGGTTTCCATTGGTGTAAACATCTGAAATAAAGAATTGAGAAGACTATCTACTTTGGACTTATATCTGCAATATTAAAGATATATATATAACACAGATGTATGTTCAAATGGCTGTTTGACAGATTTGCTTCAAGAATTAATAATTGAAAAATATTTGTAACATAAAGGTTTACATTATGCCAAATGTTCTGTTGAATCTTTCTAATGTAAAATAAAGAAAACACAAAGTTTTACAATGGGAAAAAAGGTTATGGTGTATCAATTCATTACACAAAATCAATATGCCCAAATGAAAAATAAACAAAGGTCAACTCAAGAAACTGACATCAACATAATATCTATTCTTACCTTGGCGAAGTACTTTCATTCATATTAACTTGGAAGAACTTGACTTCACCGTCCAGACTAGCTGTGGCTAATGCAGTGCCATCTGGTGAGAAAGCAGCATCCATTACAGGCTGAAATGGAAATAATATTTATTACTGCAGATCAAAATATTCAATTTATTCAGCTTCATTGGAACAAGAAAGAAAAATATTTCATCTGCCATAAATATGACTGATTAGTGACACAAAAAATATATATCCATCTATTTGCAATTGTGTATGAAATAAACTGCATGCTTCTTAAAATTGATTTTAATCAAAATGTAAATGGGTTTACCCAGTAATTCTAATGATCTCACCTCTTGACAATTTGTAATTATTTATTACCAATATCTTTTGTGTGTGCCATGACATTTATAAGTGTAAGGGTATTTTTTAAAAGTAGATATGGAAAATTTTAAGCTTTGCTCATCATTAACAATATTCTTGTTAGTAAAGTAGTCTGGGATATTCAGCAAGTAGGTGGTCAATTTGTCTTCTTCTTATGGAATGCCTTGACAGTGCCTGTTCTTGTAAGTATGACAGTTGTATACCAATATCAGCTAAAATATCATGAGTCAAGGAACATAGACAAACATGGGATAATATATATGCTTTATGTTTTTACCTGTGTGTGACTAGTAATTTTAATCAAACCAAAATCCACATCTTCTGCGTCCAGTGGTCCATTACCATGTTCTTTGGTGACCAGTTCAATATTCCATATTTCTGCCTAAATAATTAATTCATTCATGAGAATATGATTAAATAAATGAAGATATTTCACACCAAGATTTGAAATGAAATAGAAATTATGATATTAAAGATGAAATTAAAATGAATTCTTTTCTAGTAAAAATGCTACAAAAAGTAGGTACTTGTGTTAGTAGGTCAGATTTACTTTTTTTTATAAACTTTACTCATAACTGAAGCTTTATATTTGTGTTAGTCAATGCAAATACATGTATGCAATATATTATCAAAGGATATATCATGTATTCCTTTTTTGCAGTTTTTTTTTTGTAAACAGACAAAAGCTGATGACAATATTTTGTGACCACATTATAAAATGAAGATTAAACATTTATAAAACTTTAAAAGTAAAAAGCTTGTTTTTCAGAGAGAAAATTATAAAGGGACACAACTGAAGAATGGTCAAAGTGACGCAACCCAAATTCGAACTTGATCTGAGTTAGGTCGTAGTAAGGAATGTTTCTAAGTTTCATAACATTTGGTCGATGCAAAATAAAGTTAGATTGAAGAAACTGCAAATTTGCCAATTTTACCATTTATAAAGGGACATAACTCAACATTTGGTTGAGGCAAAAATAAAGGGAGCGAAAACTAATTTTGGGATACAGACGGACAAGGGTAAAACTTAATGCGGCAGTGGCATAAAAAAATATCTGCCGAAGAAACATTCTTTGCATAATAAAGTTTGTATATTTTTAAATTTCTTTGTCAAATCATGATCATTTGTACATTGTTTCATTTCACATCAACTGGTACTATATTTTACTATTTCAATGACCAAATTTACCATTACAATGATCCATAAACTATCTTAACCATTTTAATGAATGATTTTATTTTTAAAATCATTTATCAAAAGTTAAAGCTTAAAACTTATAACACTGTAAATCTTACTTTTTCATTATGTGTCAAGACCAATACTCTAGAAGCATCCTGTGTAGAAGATTCAGTCATGCTACTATCATCACAATCATCAGGTATAAATGGACACCAGATAACACGGTGGAATTCTGATGGCTGTTCACCATCTGGTCGTCTAATGTGCAAAGACAATAAGACACTTAGCCTTGTCAAGGAATGATATATCATAAAATCTATCACCCTACATACATAGTCAGTGTGTCAATAAATAATAAAACAAAACTTGATTATACAAATATGAATATTAAGAATACTGTATTATATCCAATTAAAGGGCCTGTTTCTGAGCATGTACATATATATATAGTATTAATTGTACAGTAATTTTTAAGATATATTACATTGAAAATAAATGAATAAATAACATTCCTCCATAAAAGATGGTGTTTGAAAATAATTATAACATTGGTTGCAATAAATTACCGTGATTTCCCAGTGAAATAAAAACCCCTAATTTCACTTCTCTGAAGTCATACTACAATATGTGTTGTCAAGACGTTGTCGATGACGTTGCATCAAAGCAAACTGTGAATGCATAGAAAAAGATATAGTTCCTTGCATTTTCTACTTTATTTTCATTAAAAAGCCCGTTGTTAATGTATTAAAAAGAAAAACTAATCAGAGAATTCAAATATCGAAAAAAAATATTCAACTCATGACCGAACAACACATAATTAACTCATGCATGCACTACATGCATTCTTGAATTAATTTGTTGTTCGGTCACGAGTTGAATATTTTTCTATATCTGAATTCTTTGATTAGTTATTCTATAAATATATAGAATATGAACTCTAATGTAATTCATAAAACATAAACTACATCACTAATTCATGCATGTTTAGTCACTGGAATGCAATTTTTCTTTCTTATTTCAAAACAAGTACTAATAAATCTTGACACTAATATATTAACATTTTCAGACTTACTGGACATCAACCAACTAAACTGTTCCAATTTTGAAGGGAAGTTTTTACATTGACTACAAGTATCCTCAAGAATAAAGATCCTTTCCTTTTCATATGCAGTGCATTCCATTTAAATATGAAACTCAACTTCAACCTGCATATTTTTACACTGCCCACAAAATCTTTTATCTTTATCAATTCTTTTATATCGACCTTTCTCGATAGTTAACTGATCAGCACTAATTCTAAATTGAGTTAGACTTTATCCATACTGAAATTTATTAACTTGAAATAAATATGCTTCCCTTATGAAGATGTTTTTAACTTTAAAATAAGTACGCAATTTTCTTTCTTTAACATTTGCATTATCATCAATAGTATTTTTATATATTATATGAGCTATGTGGGATAGAAATCTACCTTATGCAAGTGGCGATAAATACATATACATGCATTACAATGTGATTGATTGGGAAAAAAATTCTGACATTTAAGGTCAGTATTGGTCTTAATTTTAAGATTCATAAGGGGCCTCGGTGGCCGAGTGGTCTAAGTAGTTACTACTGTAATCACTAGCCAGTCAACACTGAGGTTGTGAGTTTGAACCCCGCTCGTGCAGGTGCACTCGACTCCAATCTTAATTGACTAGGATTGTCAGTTTTCCTATCGAAGGTCAGTGGTTTTCTCCGGGCACTCCGGCTTCCTCCACCAAAAAAACTGGCCGCCACAAAATAGCCCAAAAGCAGTGCATTAAAGTGGCGTTAAAACACCAAAAATTAAAAAAAAATCAAAATTAAGATTCATACAAAATATCCTAACTTAGAAACTGTTCAAGCATTCATGCAAATTTTTTCCATCAAATATAGCATGCTACATGTATTTGTGTTTTTATATGTTTGCCACTGTGTGTTTAATAAGGTTTACAACTAAATTTTTGGGGACAAATTGGAATTATACTTTATTTTTCGTTTATTGCATTACTTTTTCTTAATGTTTTTAGCCATGTTAGAACATCACTGGACTTTCATAAAATTTTCTGAGCACTACACAAGACTCGTGATATTGTTGATAAGTTCATTCTAGTGAAGCAGATGACAATTTCAATAATCTTTAATAATTCCAGTTCTTTTTATTTCCCAATGTCTTTAACTTATGCAGACCAAAAACTTTTCCCTGCAAAATAATACCTTTACACAATCTTATAAATAAAGGATACATTAGTTTCCTATCATCTGTTTCTTTGACATGGTACACCATAAGGTTACCAATCTCATCAACGGCACCAATTAAAATATCATCAGTGTGAGCAAAGGCAATGTCTATAACACGACCAGCAAAGTCTTTCAATAGTGCTCTCTCTGCAGTCTTCCTGTTAATAATCCTGACAACACCACCTGACTTTCCTGCAATATACATGTATATTAAAACTAAATGTTGAAGTTGGCCATTTCTCTGATATACCAAGCTTTAGGGGAACTGTGTTTATGTGTAAATGTTGTAACATGTGTTAAGAACGAATTCAATTTTGTATTGGTATGTCCAGCATACAAAACAATCAGAAATGATTTTTTGCCAAGTTATTATTGTTCTTGGCTAAATACTTTTAAATCACCTTGTCTATTGAAAGCTACTTCTAGATCCCTTACAATTAAGCTCTGTAACTATTTGAAGAATACATGGAAAGCTAGATCTGATATTATTGGTTAGTTATATAAAATTATTATTGCATTATTCTCAGCTATCAGTCTTTTGTCACATTGTGTATATATTATATATTGCCATAGAATGTCATGCATGCTCTTGCATATAAATATTCATTCCTTCAGTCAATTTGATCTGATACTCTTGTTTTTTTTTTTTACTTCAGTGTTTGTCTCTTGGAATGTCAAGGTTGCTAAACACCACATAGTCGTAGTATTTCATGGTTGAGAATGAAAAGATCTTTGAGGAGCAAGTGCTCATACGCCATATCCCACATAAAGGCAAAAAGTAAAAGTCCCCTCCCCCAGAATCATCTTTAAATCAAGACAAAACAAGGATGTACATGTTGTCGTGCTATGCATACCCCACTTTTAATTCAAAGTAGCCAAAATAGTCTAGACAGTCTTTTAATTTCAGTTCACACTTGTGAGTTTACATTTAGCTTTCTAGTTTTTTTAACATCAATAATAAATCTTACCTCTTAATGTATAGGCAGCATATGTGTTATTACGATGGATAGCTACAAGGTTCCCTACGTAAAATAATGGCTCCCAATCATACTTCACAACTGGTGTAATTTTAACCTGAAAATTAACAAAAACATGAATAAATCTAGCTGAAAGTAATAATTGCCATAATAAAAGACCAAAGGGAGTGTCCAATTTCAACTGACTTTTTGACCATGTTCTTGTTTTTATACATGAAACACCTTCTGGTAGTTGTGAATAATAATGGAAGTTTCATCACTGAACTCCAAGGGGTGATAAACATGATAAAGTTGGAGAGAAGAAAGTTTTTTACCACGAACTACATCGTATGGTTTCCTTCCTTGTACCCAACACACCTTCTAGTAGTGTTGAATAATCATACCAAGTTTTATTACCTCCTTCCAAGAGGTTTTCTTGTTTAAATGGTAGTTTGATTAGTGATGGAGGGAAAAACCAAGAAAATACATATGGTCAGTGTATGTTTACTTGTTTTTGTTTAATTGTCTTTTTGATCGAGGTAAGCCATTTCAATTGATATTTTATAGTGTGTCTTTTTATGTTGTAATGTTACACTACTGTTTCAGGTTAGGGTGAAGGTTGGCGCCTGTTAAACCCGCTGCATTTTTATGCACCTGTCCTAAGTTAGGAGCCTGTTGTTCAGTGGTTGTTGTTTATTGATGTGGTTCATAGGTGTTTCTCGTTTTTTATATAAATTAGACCGTTGGTTTTCGTGTTTGAATAAGTTTTTACACTAGTCATTATAGCTTGCTGTTCGGTGTGAGCCAAGGCTCTGTGTTGAAGGCCGTACTTTGACCTATAATTGTTAACTTTTTATACATTGCGACTTGGATGGAGATTTGTCTCATTGGCACTGATACCACATCTTCTTATTTATATAAAGTTATAAAAATGTCCAACTTTTTTTCTTTTTTAAAATTTTAAACTACCTTATTACTGCCTGTTGTTGGCTGTGACAAGATACCAGTACTCATGGGCTTACTAGCTACTACATCTACTTCCTGTCCATATACACTGAAACTGTTGACTGTATCAGATCCTTGTAAAGTTCTGAGAAGGAAATATACATGCATGTGTAAGAAAACACTCATATTACCCTGATTATTGATGCTGATTATTTTATAAATACACAAAATATTGACACACATTAAAAAGTTCTAAATTTTCAAAATTAAGTTCAAGAAGTTTTTTATTGACCCATTTTTTTTTTACACACTCACCACTAGCTTTTAACACTATGTGATAAAGGTTCTTTTATCTGAAATTTTGCATTTTTAAAATATCATGTTTGACAATCACCCTTAAAATTACACAATTTGCAATCATTTTTGTTGGTTGAATTGCTACGGAATTCATGCAGTGTTCTCCCCAGGCCCTTAAAGGACCGTGGGCCCGCAATGTATAATTTCTGAGCGTGGTGCTATCAGTCTTACCGCGATGTATAGCGATGTATAATTTTTGTCCGTGGTGGTAAAAAAATCGTAAATAGGTAAAGTTTTTAAAGACTTGTTTAATCTTTTCTGTGCGTTATAAAATTCCAGGTGAAATTTGGCCAGTTCAAACCAGTTCAACACAGATTGTTTACACCACGTGATCGATTTACCTTATGAGGTTAACCTTGTTGATTGGATTTAATCGATGTAATTAACACTTGTTACATGATTCTTTTGTGTTTTAATTAAGAGATCATAACTTTATGGTTACAGATAACTATTTTATGGCTTCACTCACCACCCAAGCGCTGACCTGTGACAAGTCGGCAAATATTTTGTACACAAACAGTATCGACCCGATAGTTGTAAACAAGCCAGTACATTTTTTGTACATAATAACGTTTACTGATTAACGGATAATTGACAATTATACATTTCTCAATTGTTATATTATAGTATTATATGTCTCTGATTAAACCATGGCCAAATTATCTTTAATTAGGACATAGTTATTGCATTCTAGTCGGGTTTCAAACTAAAGTATCTGTCAACAAGTAAATCATCTGTACATATCACATGACCCAGTTAGTTCACGTAGCACATTCAAGTGTATTTACAATTAATTGCAATTTATTTTATTTTATAAATAAAATGCATGACTGTACCTTCAAACTGGATATCTATATCCATAAATATAATTAATGAATAACAGAAGTAATCTTGCAAATTTTATCCATAAGCACATGTTAAATCTATTTATAACTACTTCCTGTCATTAAGGCGGGAAAAATAGGGAGACTTTGTTGTTGTCATTGAATATGGTTACTTATAGATAGATCTATAGACCTAAGATAAATTTATAGATTTAGGAATTCTTTATAAATGGATCATGACAAATAAAGATTTAGATTTGAGTGCAGTATTAAGTCTGTATCTTTGTTTGCTTATCACCAAAGACAAGAAAGGTTAATATTTACATGATATCTATGGCAAGTGTTTTAAAATTTATGAAAAATTTCTTTTTATTTAAATTTAAGATAGATACTGGTTCAAATAATAAAACAATATTTGTTCTTGTTAATTTTATATCTCCTTATGACAGGAATCCTTTCACATACAACAACTTTCTTTCTAGAAACTAGAAAGTTTTTTAAATTGAACATTTTTGTTCTCTTTTGAATAATATTTTATTTTTATTGATCATGGATTTTATAAAAGATTTAATTATTTTAAATTTAGATGAATATTTTGTAATGAATAATGTTTTATTTATTTAAAAAAAATATTAAAAGTAAACAAACTGTTTTTTGATTTACTTCTTTTTTACCAATAATTTTCTGACTCAATGTCTACATAATACAGTACCACAGTATTAAAACAAAACAAGAGACATAAAAACTACAGTAACTAGAAATATAGCTAAGTGACGCGACCCGACACAACTGATAGTATAAATTATTTCACCAAGCTGTCCACACGTGTTACCCTGGTGCTATCATAAAATCCTGGGGAGAACACTGATTCATGGTAAAGGCATGGTCTAAATTAATATTGATATAATTGAGTAATACTTTGCCAAAATGTAGTTTATATCATACAAAATATAATAAAAAGTATGGGTCACAGAGCTTTTTTTTCAAGATACAGGTTGTACAAAATTGTTGGTTTTGTAAAGATTATGCATTGATAAACCACTTTTGTGTGAATAGAAAGAAAAATAAACCATAAAATTTTTAAATAAAATACAAGAAGATAGCTCTTACATGTGCTTTCAGAAAATAAAAAAGGAGATTGGGTAACCATACTTGTTTTCTTGCTACAAAGCAAATTAGGTCAATTTACAGTTCATTCCTTTATAAAATTAAATAATCAACTTATTTTCCCTTATAGTGCTAAGCTGAAACATTTGAATCAAACAAAAATTTGTAAAAACAGTTGTAGTAATAAGATAAAACAAAAAATGTTCTTCATTTTGAAAAAAAAGTCTTACAATTGATAGTAAGGCTGTCTCAAAATTTGCACATTTCAATAAAGATCTAAAGGAAAGAAGCCAGAACTGTGTTAAAATCCAACCATGGATTACAGAGGTTTTTTTCAAACTTTGTCAAATTATTGTGCAAATGAGTTGTGAGATTTTTACTCCAATGTGGGAGATTTGTCTCCCCATCAGGAAGCTAATAATCAGACGAGAGTTGATATCAGGATCTGCATACCCATCTGGAGCACCTGTAATCATTTTTGGTGAGGTTTGTGTTGCTCAGTCTTTAGTTTTTGATGTACCGTTACTGTTTTGTACTGTTTTTGTCTTTTTCATAATTTATTTTTTGGCCAGGATTATTCTCGTCTAGCTTAGACTTAAAAAGTTAGATTCTCCTTTCGGTATCTTCCACTTCCTTTTTTTTTTTATTGTATATATTTCGGTAGACTTTTGTTGTTGGTTTGATGAACCATTGATATTCATCCAACATTCCTTTTATTTAAATTCAAAGGTATATACTTACATAAGCTGCCTATGAGAAGGCTGGCTGTGACTGTAGAATGTCTGCATAAGTTCATTTATTGTTGGAGCAGTTGCCTCCCCTGGTCCTGGTACATCAGCACTGTATAAATAAAATTATAGTTATCATCATTATTGCAACATTCAGTTGAAAACAAACGTTTAGTGAAAGGATATTACAACTACTGTAAATTCAAAAATTATTGCGAGGTTTTTATTATTGTGAATAATGTGACTGGGTGAGTATCGCAATAATAAGAACTCACATTCTGATATTTTCCTGAAATCACAATAATTAATCTCACATTTATGTCAATCCTGCAAAAATCGCAATAATAAATGCACGCAATTATAAATGAATTTACAGTAATTACTTTCAATGGGGAGGATACAATGATAGATGAACCAAAGAATATTTGAATTACTGAGGATAAAGGGAGAGGCTATTGATTGATTGATTGTTGGTGTTTTACTTCACTTTCAGCATGCTTGGCTATATCGTGGCAGCCAGTTTTGATTGGTGGAGGAAGTCGAAGAACCACTGACAATCGACAGGTATTGAAAATACTTCTTTGGTCATAAACACTAAATCTTGTACTACATGTGCATTAACAACTATGTTTCATCATATCATGCATATGGCACGTATCAAATAAGCTTACATCACAACATTATCTTTGATTAAGCTATACATGCCTTGCACTGGAACTTTACCCTGCTATTTTCACAAAATGAAGTCATAATCAATCATTAATTAATGGCACCTTAAACAGTGTTCAAGACATCATAGAATGCTTGTGCTTAACGATATACACAACAAATAGCAAGAACAAAGGATTTTAACCCCAGTAAATTAATTTGTGACTATTTATGACTAAATTACTCCAGCTTTTTAATGAAAGATGCTTTAATATGATGCCATGTCACATGTATGAAATATGGAACAAGAATGTGTCCATAGTACACAGATGCCCCACTCGCACTATCATTTTCTATGTTCAGTGGACCGTGAAATTGGGGTAAAAACTCTAATTTGGCATTAAAATTAGAAAGATCATACCATAGGGAACATGTGTACTAAGTTTCAAGTTGATTGGATTTCAACTTCATCAAAAAACTACCTTGACCATAAAACTTCAACCTGAAGCGGGACAGACAGACAAACGGACAGAAGAACGGACGCACAGACCGAAAAACATAATGTCCCTCTACTATCGTAGGTGGGGCATAAAAAGAATACATATATAGTGCCATACCTTTCTCTCATATTCAATGTGGATGAAATACTTGCACTGGACATGGCTGCAATAATAAAATAAATGTAATTACAATCATGACAATACAGTAGGTACAATGTACATTATAGTAGTTTCTAGAAAAAATCTGAAAATTAACACTTTTGTTCTTACTATAGGAATCTTATTAAATTGATTCCATGGTAATGTGCTATCCTAGTGTAAGAGACCATCAATTCAATCCTGATCCTGATTTAACTGAAGACTTTTAGAGACTTTATTGGTATTTGCTGCTTCTCAACCAAGCATGCAGCATTTATAGATATACCAATAACAAAGAATGTGCAAAATAATGCATTCAGTTAGGGTATTCTGTAACCCTTTTTCCTGTCCTGAAATCAATATGAGTAAAAGGAAATGTGGGGTATTTGTCAATAAAATAGCATACCAATGACACAACTAGAGGTCTAAATACATGTACAGTTTTACAAGAGACAAATGTTTACATAATATGTCATCTTTTTCCTTCTGGATATAGTATTATCTGTCCTTTTTTTGACCTTTTGACAGTGGCTACGATTAAGTTGAAAACGTAACCATGTAAAGAAATTTTTTAAGACTAATTGCCGGAATGCAAGATTGGGTCACATACCAATTATGTGCAGGCGTAAACAAAATATTTGTGATAATAATTGTGTCTACGGTAACATTGAATCATTGCCATTTCAGCCATGCTGAGTTTGATATTCAAAGCCAAGTTGAACCTTGCATCAGTAATGGACGGAAGGGAGATAATCTTGACAGTCAATGTTATGTTTCCGACAAAACTTTCGGGCTAAAACATCAATATTTCAAAGATAAAAAGAATCATGGTATTCACTAACAGATGTTATTACATGCAAAAAGAACATTAAAGAGAGGAATTGTTTGGTGTGCTAAACTGACATCCACATTGTGGCATCCTTAGTTTAAAATATGGCTGTCTTGAGTGGTTCCAGCAGAAAATGTGTCTGCCTTAAACACCATGGGACACAGATCATGGACACAGATGATGCTTCCGCTTGCATATAACATTATAAAGGGGCATCACTCCCGAACGGTAAAGGTGACACAGACCAAATTCGATTTTGACCTGGGCTTTGTGGTTTGAGCTTAAGTATTGTGTATAAGTTTTATAACATTTGGTTGAGGCAAACTAAAGTTAGAGAACGGAATCCACTTTTGGGGCGTACATATGTACATGATGTATGCCAGTATGGACAGACGCAGTGTTCTCCCCAGATATTTTGGATAGCATCACATTTGGCGTAAAAAAAATAAACTGTATTTTTTTCAATGTCATTTGTCGCGTCGCGGTGATGCTCTATTTCCTTTATGGTATATATGTTTATATTAATTATAATACAATTAAAATATAACCATGATAACAGTTGTTTCAGTTTATGTTTTCTATATTCATTTATAGTTACTGTACAGAATTATTGTTTTCCTCTTGGGCCATATAACAATATATGTGTGGTTCTAGCAGAGACATATAATACAATATGTCTCTGGTTCTAGTTACCCTACCTACCCAACTAAATGAATGAGTGAATGGTTTATTATAGTGCAACCTTCATATATATACAATACTAAATATCAAGTGAAAAAAGAGAAAGTATCATATAGCAATAAAATTTCAATTAAAAAAAAATGTTCATGTCTAAAAATTCATTGTTTCATGGTACTCAATGGATTAGTCCCAGTTGTTTCTTTATATCAATGTGATGGATATTTTTAACAAAGTTATCTAACAAATAGTCTGTTAATGCATAGTTTTCTCTTTTTGGTATATTTTTTTCTGTCTGCTGTGCCATTTGTGCATCTGTAGTTATTATCGTAAAAATGCGGATTTTTGTCATATCTGGTCCGGTTCCGATCGGTAGTTTACACAAAAGTAGTCAATGGCGGCCGAAGAAAAATTAAAGAAAATAAACAATGTTTGACAAGAGATTGGGAACGAATGTGACGCTTTTGATGTATTAAATGGATGAAACATAAACTTAAGCCAACTTATTTAGCCCAAAACCGATATGTTCGCTCTCGATTAACAAGTAGTACCGGCGGAAGAGAAAGAAAGTAATTTTATGAAAGTTGTAAAAATAAACGACCAAACCTCATTTTTAAAGAGAAAAATCGTTTGTATCTTTGAATTTCCGTAATGCAAAACGTAGATTTCAAATTGTTTTATGATTACATTTTTTCCATGTCTTAATTTGCGATTGCAGACAGACCACGTGGTATTAATCATGTCACCAGTGGCAGTGTCCTTTAATTTTAATTATTGTTATGTTTTCTAACCATAGTCCATAGCCAGTGCCTACACTTTAATCTTTGACCACAAGGTTTTGATGTTGTTTTGGTTTTGAAAAACGTAAGAAACGCTATTTTGAAAAATCTTATAGAACCATATCCTCTTTCACAGGTAACATAAGCCTCGTATCGAAATTATATTATGTATTAAATTACCATTTGATTTCTGCAAGTTCATAAGCTCATGCAAGAGATGACCTGTGTCGCCGGTGCTCGCTGAGTTTAGAGATGATGACGGGCTACCCCTATCGTCCATGATTTTAAATGACAGTTTTAATTTCAAACTAAGTTTTCCTTTAAATTTTAGTACAAATTGTTATTGGTGAATCACGATAAATTACGAAACAGTAATGCAGGTTTCGACTTTCAACAAGTTTGTTTTCATCCAAAATATGGCGGCCTCCATTAACCACGTTTCTGCGTGATTTCACAAATTAAATTTGTTTAAATAATTTGAAACTTCATTGTTTCAATTTAACTATTTTTAACATTATTTAAACATACATTAATAAATCCGGTTATATATATTTCTTTTTTTTTTTAATTGCGTCGAAAATGTTTTAAATGTTAACGTGTTGATTTACGGTAGCTCTGTTACCACCCGTTTTAGGTGGGCTCGATTAGAACTGGGCTAATATATTATTCCCAGATTAGTATAAACAGATGCGGATTTATGGATCTACATTTGACAAATGCATAGACCTTTTTAAAATTCTCACTCCAAACGTTGGCCTTCTAGGCCACCTCCCCTTTTACAAAATCCTGGATCCACACCTGATATGTGTTCGTCTCTCAGTGTTAAATATTATGACACTGACTATGTCTCATTTGAATACAGAAATTTTGTGTGATAATACAGGTTTAATTTCATTTCACCAAGGATTTGTATAGTAAGAAGGATTGGAATCTCGTGGTTTATCGTTTTCTCTTACGCGGCGAGACTACGCTACTCGATCGCCACTGCTACTTGTCACTTACGATATCGGTAATTTTTTTGTACACATGTATCGAGTTATTTTCTTATTTTTGTTACGCATAGACATTGTTGTGATGGTAAGGGACTTTAATCATTTTAATTGTAATTATTATTGATTCCCGCTCGAGTGACTTTTAATGACAAATCGTATAATTAATATAAAGTGTTTACTTTCAACCAAATTTTTCCCACGAAAGGGGGGGGGGGGGGGCGGGCCCCCAGGCCCCCCCCCCCCCCTGGATCCGCCTATGGCACCTGTGCCGATAAGGCTCTCTCTTACAAAGCAGAAATCAATGCGATATTCCAGAGCTTGCATTTCCTACCATGATTTTCTTGATAGAGGGTTTGCTGCTTACGAGGAAGCTATTTAACCTGAAGGGTTCCAAGTGGTGAAGTTGAGGTCATCCGCACGAAAATTTTACTGACGCCTTCATGTCAGAGTTGGTTGACCGTTACGAAATATTTGTTTAACAGATAACGACGGATATGTTCCCCAATTCAGTGTCGTAACAAAAATCCCGTCCCCTTTTCCTTGATTGTGACATCACCGAGTTTGTACTTACATGATGAACAAGACGGTGCCAAATGTTGAGCAGGATTTTTGTTAGATTCGTGTTTTCCGCGATTTCTGCCATTGTCATTTTGTCATCGACTTTTGAGTTTGGAATATTCCTTTGTTATCTTTTGCCTCTCTTTCAATTGGGAGGGGGACAACGGTTGGGAACCTGTGTTGATTTGTATAATATTTAAAAAGTGAACTTATCTTAACTTAAATTTCAATTTCAAAAACTGTGACAAGATGAGGTCTTTTTTGCATTTCCTTAAGGCTTTACTTTTAAATGTTGTATTCACGTCTTTACGTACAGTTAAAGATGATGAAAATTGTTGTCATTTTCTCTCTTTACAAATAAATAATTCAATATTCTTATGTCGGATCAGCATAACATTGTCTCATATAATTAACGAGTTTCCACATGATCAATTAAAAAGAAAAATCAAAAATTTATGTCTGCGTTTTTTTTTCTATCGTTTTGAGTGACAAACTCGGGACAGAATTGACTTAATTTGTGAAAGCTTACAATAATAAAAATGTTAATAGTGTATTTATATTGTTCAAAAATATTCTAACGAACTTCAACAATGTGTCCCCGAACGTTAATCGATAACACTTTTTGTACCCTTTTCGCATAGACTGGCTAATATATATGTTATACATTATTTCACATCCGGCCGATTTTGTTTAAAGACGTCATTAACAGTCTGAGAAAAAACATGACCTTGTGCAATGCCGAAATGATAAGTATCGTCAGGATGAAGGACCATACATGTTTTATAACTGTTTAGTTATATATTTCTAGTAGTTATGTTTTAATTTATTAAAAACTAAATCAATGTTAGTACAGATAAAGACAATAGTAAAATATCTTACTTAAGTGTAGAAATTATAACCTTTAAGAATACGTTTATATTCGAAGGATCGATGAGTTTTCATGGATCGTATTTTAATATAGGGGCTCTATAAACAACATCAGCGTATAGATTTGGATGCGAATCCCGTTTATAATAAGATTTCAACGGGTACAGCCAAAATTCCAAACCAAATCTTAGTATCTAATGAATTTAGTAAACTTTTAAGTAATTTATGGCAACAAAATTCCTAATTTTGTAATTCACCAGTTATACAAAGATTACGTTCATTTGAACCTAAAACGCCACTACAGACACGGGGACCCTGGAAAACAAGATGAGACAGTTGATTGAATTGATCAACTCGTAAACGATATAGTAACGATTGATACGATCGTGATAATTGAAAACTCGAAAAGACAGTTGATTGAATTGATCAACTCATTAACGATCGTAACGATTGAATACGATTGATACAATTGTCAACCTTGAAAACAAAATGAGACAGTTATTTGAATTGATTTACCCTTAAACGATCGTAACGATTGAATACGATTGATACGATCGTGACCCTGAAAACGAGAACATGCAGTTGATTGAAATTATCAACTCTTAAACGATCGTAACGATTGGATACGATCGAAACGATTGTTACAATTTAAAACTCGAAAAGACAGTCGATTGAATTTATCAAATCTTTAACGATTGGATACGATTGATACGATCGTGAGTCTTGAAACAAGACGAGACAGTGATTGAATTGACTCACCCTTAAACGATCGTAATGATTAAATACGATTGATATATACGATTGTGACCCTTGAAAACTAGAAAAGACAGTTGATTGAATTGGTCAACCCTTTAACGATCGTAACGATTGAATACGATTGATACGATCGGGAGTCTTGAAAACAAGATGAGACAGTTGATTGCATTGATCAACTTTTAAACGATCGTTACGATCGTGACACTGGAAGGTGAGAACAGGCAATTGTTTGAATTAATCAACTCTTACACGATCGATAGGATTGAATACGATTGATACGATCGTGACCCTTGAAAACGGTAAAAGACAGTTGATTTAATTAATCAACTCTAATACTATCGTAACGATTAAATATGATTGATACGATCGTGAGTCTTGAAAACCAGATGAGACATTTGATTGCATTGATGAAGCCTTTTAACGATCGTAATGATTGAATACGATTGATACATACGATTATGACCCTTGAAAACTAGAAAAGGCAGTTGATTGAAATGGTCAACCCTTTAACGATAATAACGATTGAATACGATTGATAAGATCGTGAGTCTTGAAAACAAGATGCGACCTGTAGTTGATTGCATTGATCAACTATTTAACGATCGTTACGATCGAGACACTTGAAAACGAAAAAAGCCAATTGATTGAATTGATCAACTCTTAAACGATCGTAACAATTGCATACGATTGATACGATCGCGACCCTTGAAACGATAACAGACAGTTGATTGAATTGATCAACTCTAAAACTATCGTAACGATTAAATATGATTGATACGATCGTGAGTCTTGAAAACCAGATGAAACATTTGATTGAATTGATCCAATCTAATTAAAATTAAATCTCCGCACTTGCTCCTCGTTGCTTATATGTCGCGCGTGGGAGCGACATATAAACAACGAGGAGCAAGTGCGGAGATTTAATTTTAATTAGATTGGAATTGATCAAACCTTAAAAGATAGTAACTATTGGTCACGATAAATATGATCGTTACCCTTGAAAACGGAACAGGCAGTTGCGTGAATTGATCAACTCTTGAACGATTTGAACGATTAAATAAGATTCATAAGATTGTGACACTTGATGAACAGATGAGACATTTGGGTGAAACGATCGTAACGATTGAATACAATTGATACGATCGTGAAACTTGAAAACTAGAAAAAGACAGCTGATTGAATTAGTCAATTCTTGATTGATCCTACAACAGAATTCAATTAAATTGAATCGACTAAACAATACATAGTAATTTATCTAAAACGTCTATTCAGTCGATTGTCGAATACTATACCTGTAAAGGTAACTACTTGAAAAAAGTGTTTTACACTCCATTTGCATAAATGATCAATTCCGTTTTTTATATGCTCTATTGCAAATGCTTATAACAAGTTCTTTAATTGTAGTAAGGAAACTAGTCAATCTAATTAAGATATAGATCTCTGATTTCGTTATGCTCATATGAATTGAGATATATCTGAATTTTAACCAGATTGGGGAACTAGTTAAAAGCGCAGTAAAACTTGTCTGTTGAAGGAGCTTTTTTAATCTCATGTTTATTATTAACTTTATATAATATATAAATTAAATATACTTGTTCTGTGATATAATATATGTAAAGATGTGAAGTCTACCGTACTGTAATTGTGTAAGTGTGGTATTCGTTATTTAAAGTTCACGCCGAGTGGGATAGATGAAATAAATATAGTCACCAAAAAAGGAGGTATATATGATAAGAGTCATTAATTGGCCGTGAAATTGCAAAACAAGTAAACTTGATATTTATTTCAAAAATTATTGCGAATAATTCGACTGGGTGAGTATCGCAATAATAATAATCATCTCGCATTTTTGTCCATTTGTCAAAAATATCAATAATAAATGCACGAATAATTTATGAATTTACAGTATTTGACATATAATGGCCATTTCAGGCATAGTTTTTAGTCAAACTATTTATGCGCGACAGCTCAGTTTACACCAAAATTATCATATTTGACATACTTTTATATCTTTTAAAAATACAATTTATAGCAAACTATCTGTTTGGCTAAAGCTCTTGCACATGACTTAAATATTAAAGGGGCATTAGCTGTCAAAATTCATGTTCATCGTTTTTGACTCAAATTCTCATATTTGATTTACAACATACTAAAACGTATATCAGAATTACAAAAAGCCTAAAATAAACAATTAACAATGCACGGACTTGATAATATGTATCAACATTTCGTGTGTATTTTTGTCTAGACGCCATCTAATTAACTCTCGAGATGACCTCCCAAGACTGCTGACGGTAATAAAACCCGATA